TTTGCGAAAGCACTTTACAATGGCATACCTAGTAACTATTCAGTTTTGTGGTCGGCTACTAATAAAACTATTCTAAAAGGCATTGAAAATGAACTAAATAATAATCGTTTCCTCATTAAGAGCTGGATACCACAGATTAAGGCATTAAATCATTCATCAATATCATTAGCTATTCTTCATGGAGGAGCAGGAGGAGTACACCAAGCACTCTATTTTGGAATACCAATGGTTGTCATTCCATTTGGTGGAGATCAACCAGGCAAGTTTTGAGTAAACACATGTATTTCATTTTTGTTTATAGGTAATGCTGTTAGAATAGAATATTGGAAACTAGGTGTTCATTTGAATCGAAATGAAGTTACTGCAAGCGATTTAAAAGAAAGCATTTTAAAGATTGAGTCAGGTCCTTACAGAAGCAATGCTAAAAAGATGAGTATCATAATGAAGAATGCTGGAGGAGTAAAGAGAGCAGTTGAGCTAATAGAGTTCTATGCTGCAGTAGGTTATGATCATCTTGTACCTGCTTATGTGAAGTATCACTGGAGTTGGATTCAATATCATAATGTTGATGTACAAGCATTGCTGTTAGCTATTGGAGCATTGATGCTATACTTGTGTTTCAAATTAATCAAGTGTATGTGTCAGTGTTGCTGCTGTAGGAATGCCAAGAAAAAGAATTTAAAGCAAGATTGAACTCTAATTTTTGCTGCTATTATTAAATTCATTTACATCAGTAAAAGTGGGCTGGGCTGTTGCAGCCATACCTAGAGCCACAATTGCAATTATGCCCCTCAAAATCTTCGTCCCTCTTGTTTTTCTGCTGGTTGTATGTAGTTGCAAAATACAAGAAAAAGAATCACTGTCAATCCTTCTCTCGCCATTTCCTGCCCCTGGTCACTATTTGAATTTCATGATTTTGGGAGATGCTTTGAAAGAACAAGGTCACAATGTTACCTTTCTCATGCCTCACTTTCCAGATTATAACAAGCCAAAGGAACTCTGTGAGGAACATGGTTTTCACTACATTCCTGCACCAGTCAATATGAGTTATTATGGCTTTAAAAGTGGCTTTAAAAATGAAGCCAATGAGGATTTAAACGCTGTACAATTGGCGTCTCATTTGTTAAATATGTTTTTGACTGTGCTTTCCTCTATAGATTCTTTCGTTTCAAATGAGCTGGATACCTCCCAATTAGACGTTGCAGTCGTCGAAGAATACCTGATGGGAACTTTAGTTTGTCCCAAAAACGAACATTTACCAATTGTATATTTTTCACCTGGAATTCCAAACGACCCTTCACTGTTACCATCATGGCCTTTTCCACATATAGCGTTTCCTTCCATAACTCATGACACGTCCATTACAGACCGTCTTATAATAACAGCTGCTAACGCTCTTCTATTTTCACCGCTACAACAAGTTATTATTTGGTATTTGTCTTCAAATAATCCAGAATGCTGGGAGAGGAAATATAACTATTACTCACCTCCAGGCCATGGGGTTCCTTTCATTTTAGCAACAGTCATGGGGTTTGAGTATCCAAAGACAAATCTTCCATTAGTTGATTATGTTGGTCCTTTCATTCCAAATACACTTGATCCTCTACCATCCGATATTGATTTGTGGCTGAGCAGTAAAAAAGAAAACAGTGTCGTGTACATTTCAATGGGTAGCATTTTTGCTGGATCTCAAGAATTAGCGGAAGCACTTTACAATGGCATACCTACTAACTATTCAGTTTTGTGGTCGGCTACTAGTGAAACTATTCGAAAAGTTGTTGAAAACAAACCAAGCAGTGATCGTTACCTTGTTAAGAGCTGGATACCACAGATTAGTGCATTGAATCATTCATCAATATCATTAGCTATTCTTCATGGAGGAGCAGGAGGAGTACACCAAGCACTCTATTTTGGGATACCAATGGTTGTCGTTCCTCTGGGGGGAGATCAATTAGGTAAATTTTGTGAATAAACATATGTATCTCAATTTTGCTTTTAGGTAATGCTGTTAGAGTACAATATTGGAAACTAGGAGTCCAACTGAAGCAAGATGAACTTACTGCAAATAATTTAAAAGAGAGGATCCTAAAGATTGAGTCAGGTCCTTACAGAAGCAATGCTAAAAAGATGAGTATCATAATGAAGAATGCTGGAGGAGTAAAGAGAGCTGTTGAGCTAATAGAGTTCTATGCTGCAGTAGGGTATGATCATCTTGTACCTGCTTATGTGAAGTATCACTGGAGTTGGATTCAATATCATAATGTTGATGTACAAGCATTGCTGTTAGCTATTGGAGCATTGATGCTATACTTGTGTTTCAAATTAATCAAGTGTATGTGTCAGTGCTGCTGCTGTAGGAATGCAAAGGAAAAGAAGGAGTAACTGCAATTGTTTTATTTTGAATTATTTTTGCCATCAATCATACAAATTAATAGGTGGGCGGAGCTTGGTTTTATTCATAGGTGTGGTTAATTGCAAAAAATGACTGAAGCTGATGATGAAATTGAACTTGTGTCTCTCTCTTCTCAGAATCTACCCGTCAAAGAAGATAAAGAAGAGAAGACAGATGAAGAAGAAAACGTTGATGCTCCATTGCTTCCATTGACAGTACAATCCTCTCCACCTAACCCTCTACCTGAATCTGATAATGAAAATGAAGACTCTACACTTGAGTCCCCTCCTCCTCCTCCTGGGGGCAAGGTTCCTTTATGGCGTATAATACTACTCAGTGCATCAGGAGGTGCTATCGATTTGGTATTTGCTATTGAGGATACATATGCAGTACCACTGATAGTAGCTACAGGGTTGGATATACGCTATGCGACCATAATGCTAGCACTGAGCCCTCTCATAGGCACATTATTTCAAGCTTATCTCGGTAGTTTGTCCGACGGGTGTAAGTGCTCGTGGGGTAAACGAAGACCGTTTATTCTGTTCCTCTCTCTCTTGGCTTGTCTGGGATTGGTCATTGCTCCTCTCTTCCCATCTCTCTTCTCATCTTACACTGCCATAGGTACACTAGGAGCAGTGACTGGCGTTGCTTTTTTTGATTTTGGAATGGGTCAACTCCAATTGCCGTCACGAGCATACCTCTTAGATACCCTGGGTCCCACGTCACAGGTCCAAACTGGTAATTTTATATACATCATCATAATTGGTATCGGCACATGTACTGGGTATATATTGAGTGGGATTGATTGGAACTCATTATTCAATAAAGACAATGCTAAAGACACTAGTACTGTTATCGTTCAGGCTCAGTTTATATTTGGCATTGCTGCAGTTATGGTCCTGATCTGCCTCATTGCTACATTGTGTAGTGTCAAGGAAAAGAACCCCGACAGTTCTTCGTGTATCAAGGCCTGCCCTTGTACGCAAAGTCCTAAAAACATTGTTCAAGATTTTTTAAAAGCAACTTTTGAATCTTTTAAGTTTGTGTGGCACATGTCAAAGCACATGTGGCTCCTGTTAGCGGTGATGCTTTTCGGTTTTCTCTCTCTCTACACATTTCTCTTCTTTTTCACTTCTTTTGTGGGTGGAGCTGTGTTCGGCGGAGTCCCAAGTGCTCCAAAGGACTCCGAAGCTTATCAGCTTTATGCTGAAGGTGTCAGAAAAGGTTCTTGGGCACTAGCAGCTGGTGCAGGTTTCCTAGCATTATCATCATTATTTATGGACCGTATTGCAAAAGTTATTGGACTGAGAGTGATGTTTCTAACAGTGCAATATGCAGTTGTCATTGTGTATTTTGTGTTAACGTTCTTCCCTCTGCTTGCACTCAGTTACATTGGAGCTTGCATTGCTCTCCTTTGTCAAGGCTTGTATTTGTCCATTCCTTTCACACTGATATCTCTTTACGAAGTGAGCAATTAATAAATAACTATTAATTATTATCATTATTTTAAACTATTTATAATAGTTATTATATTATTATTAATTATTAATTTATTTAATTGGTATATTTTTTAAGGCTAATGGTCTCATGTTTCGGAAGTCTTATTCATCTGGAAATATAGGAGGCCGAGCTTGCTTCATATTGAATACCGGATTATTTTTAGGGGAAGCATTAGCAGGATTCACTACTGGCCCACTCATTAACCTATTTCAATCATCAAGTGCTATAGTAATGTCTGCATGTGTTTCTGCTGGACTGGGTGCAGTTTTAAGTGCCTTCTTGTATTTTCCTTAAAATAATTTATGATTATTATTAATTTTTACAACGTATATATAATGCCAGGAAAAAATCAGTCAATAGTAATCATATTTATGAAGCAAGTGTCACACTCACTTCTGCACTCATGGAGAATTTCATTGCTCAAAGTCAAAGCAAGCCTCATTCTAAAATCATTGGGCTTCTAACTGTTGCAAGACAAAGAAAATTGAAACCAGCTACTTAGAATTCTAGTGAATTAAATACTAAAATCCAATGATGTGGTAAATGCCAATTCCATCATTGATATTATCTATGATGCCATACTGTAGCCACACCCAGCCTTTTGCGCCTATTTGGCAGCACGTCAATAATGGACAAGACTAGTGTCATTTGTCTGATATTTGTTGCACTTTTATCTAATGTTAATGGTAAGTACCTATATTATTAGCAAAATGCATGTACTTGGCTTTTGCAGGGCAAGGCAATGGTGCTGTGAGACTAAATAATTATGGTAACACGGATGCTACTAATACCAGAGGTGTTGTTGAGGTGTACTACAATTCACGTTGGGGAACTATCTGTATCACAGACTCATCTTACAACCACATTGGTGATGTCGTCTGTCATCAGTTGGGATTCAATGGTGGGAGCTCTGGAAGTGTTAGTCAGTGAGTAAAGCCTGTTTTTTATTAAGCCTGGTTTTTTTATAATTTCAATAAATAAATAGACTAATACATAGAGCTTGAAACATGTTTACCAAAGCTTTGCAACATGCAACTATTGTGTGTTGTAAATAGTCTCGCGAGCCAGACTATTCCCCAATGACTGTAGGCTGGGGAATGATCCGCTGGCTCACGAGACTATGTCGAAAAGCTGTTGTAAACATCTTTCAAGCTCCATTGATTCCTGCCAAGATATTTTGTGAAATCTCTGGTGAATCAAAGTTTCATGGTGTATGGAGTATGGTAGCCTTATTCCAGGCTTTAAGGATAAAAAAGGCTTCATAGCTTTGAAATCTGGGCATTATAGGAATAAATTGAGCTGTTATAGGATGAAAATAATTGTCACCAATACTCTGTTTTCTAAAAAATCCCACAATTAAAATTGAAGTGCATGGTCCAGAGGAATTATTCAGCCAATAAAGCTTTCTATAATAAATACCTTAAATTATATTCTCCCAATAGTAATTCTTTAAACACTAAAGCAGTTATTACCAATGTCAGATGCAAAAAAGATATGCTTGTAATACTACAGTGTGAGCATGGAACTTCTGTCTCTTCTTGTGGACCTTCTGATAATGTTGAAGTTAACTGCAGTAAATCAATTTTTAATGAATGCTTTTTTGAATGTTTCACAGATACAGCTAGATTATGGGATAATCCTTACAATGGCATGGTACGCCTACAAGGAGGATATTATTCTGGACAGGGAGTGGTTGAGATTTATTGCAAAGAGAGTTGGGAAGCTGTTTGCAATGATGATCAACTCTTCAAGAGTGAAGCAGCAGATGTTGTTTGTACTCAGCTAGGATATAACGGACATCAAATCTATATTGATAGCATCTTACAGTATGCTATTGTTAGCATTATTGCGTAATTTCATTTGTTTAACAGTGATGACACTACCTGGTTGCATAATGTCGATTGTAAAAGTGAGTCATCAAGTAAATGCCTCTTTGATTGTGGTGGAGGCAGTTGTCCTGATAGTTTTTTTAGATGCACTAGATATGGAGTTAATGTAACATGCGGTAAGTCTTTTAATTCATTCGTTAATTGAAGGAGTTTTTACAACAGAATATAATACACAAATATCTGATAAAGGTGGCTACATTAACACTTGTAAAAGTAAGCATAGCAGGTGATGATGCATATTGTAAACGTTACATGCAACATTGCTTTGTTTATATAGATTCTGGTCTTTCTGGTGGTGCTATTGCTGGAATAGTGCTAGGAGTTACAGTAACATTTGTTGCTTTATGTGCCTGCTGCTGCTGTATGCTTTGGAAAATAAAGAGATCCAAAAAGGAAGATCAAAAAGAACTCTTAGAAAATAAAGCAAAAAATGATAAATGAACAACTAATGATGTATTTACAAGAGTACATTAAATGGACAAAACAGCAGTATAGCAAAAATATCATTTTACTACTGTTGGGCCATAGGCGGGGGGGCAAGCCAGGGCTTTCCCCAAGTAGTTTTTTCAATTTCAACCAAAACCACACCTAAAAGGTGGGTTTTGTTATTATTAGGAGTGAGATTATCACTAGAATCCATTATTTATAGCTCAACTGTTTATACTCTACTTTACAGTTATTTTAGTGTAATAGATCTAACTGGCTTGTTAGTCATAGGAATATTTTTATACTGTTACGCTTGTTTTTATTAATTGGCCACACCCCTAATTTTATGACTAACTAATGAGCCCCCATTAATTCAAGATAATGAAGATAATTACGCTACTGTCTATTGCGAGGGTCTATTGAGTATAATTTATGACTGGTTTAAATTACCAGTTGTACCTGAAGCTATACTTGAGCCTGGCCCGGCCCCGCGAGCCTAGCCATAGTCATAGATATTAGAGTAAAGTAAATTTCATTTACTAGTCTCTATGGCCTAGCTAGCTAGCCATTCATTTACTCTAATCTGCATCTGGGTGTGCCTGGCCACGCCTATGTATGTTTTAATTATTAATACTTAATGGCGGCGTGTAGACACGTGTATCATCATAGATACATTAAAGTATCAATGGTATTATTCTGTTCGTTATTATGTCTAGGCTGAGTCAAGAACAACTTGAAAGGATAAGAGAAAACAAGAGGAAGGCCCAGGAGAGACTAGCCAGAAAGAGACCGCTACCTCAAGCCTCCTCTACTGATCTTCCTCCCCTTAAACAACCCCCCATCAAACCATCATTCTACTCCTCTGCTCCTCCTAGACCTCCCGTTAAGAAGCCTCCAGTGGGACCACAAGACAAAGTGTTATTTAAGAAAAGGATAACAGCTTCGTTTATATTGAAAGACGCATCACATTTCAAAGTGTTAGTTCCGTATGAGCCCACACTCATTGACTTGTTTAAAACGATTAAGTCACGATCTTATGGTAAGTGTGGCCTGATTTTTAATCAATTTTTCATCACTGTGTTCCTTTTTTAGATGCCAGTACACAAGTATGGAGTTTTGCATTACAAGACTATCAGAAATTAAGTGGGTAAAGGGTTAAAAACATGCACTATTTAATTATATTGGGTAATTTTAGTTAAGGAGATGAGAGAAAGAGTCCCTCATGTCCAGTTTGACTTGATTCCCAAACCAGTTCTTGATGCTTTCCATGGCAATAAGGGTGGGGCTAAGAAAACCACACCTATTAATTATAAGGACAGAATCGGCAGCCATATTTACTCAACTTTAATGGACTTTCAGAAAGAAGGAATAGAGTAAGTGGTGTTGAAAAAATTTCACACTTTTCTTTTAAAATAATCAATTTTTAGACTATTTTCCTGTTTTAGTCCCATAAAAGTGTTCCTAAAATCTCCTATCATTCTTTGCCTTTACGCAATACAGAAAGTTTGGATTAAATTGCAAATGTGCTATTCTTTCTTTGTATTGACAATTCAAATTTGGATTTTTTTTACAAATTTTTGACTTTGCTCAAAAATTAGGTAAAAGTCCCTGTACTATAGTACACGGTCTTGGGTCAAATTTTACCTAAATTGAAAAAGAGAGAAATCTCCATTTTAATATTTTTTTCTGATGCATATATATGTCCTTATGTTGTGTAGAAAATTTGAGCTGATTCTGATCAAATTTGGATTTTTTATGAATTTTAAAGTTGCTCCATATGATAATGCTTGCGAGCTCATATGAAGCATACTATTTAACTTAACTTGCTCTGTGGGAAACCCAGACTAACTGTACATTTGTATCAATAAATAATGTCCTTAGGTACATCATCCAGAGACAGGGAAGGTGTCTATTAGCAGATGACATGGGATTGGGTAAGACTATACAGGCAATAGCAGTAGCATCATACTATCGATCTGACTGGCCACTACTGGTTGTCTGTCCATCATCTCTGAAAATATCATGGGCAGAGGTACATGTACTTTTCTTTCTCTATCTCTCTTCCTCCCTCCCTCCCCACTCTCTTCTCTCTCGTTCTTTCTTGTCTCTCTCTTCCCCCCCTCTCTCTCTTCATTTTTCTTTTTTGCATTTCAGGCATTTCAGAGGTGGATTCCCTCGTTATCGAAAAAAGATATAAATGTTATCATGACCATGAAGTGTCCTACAAAGGGACTCGTTACTATTATTAGCTACGACCTTTTATCTAAAATGTCAAAGCAGTTCAAAGAGATGGGGCCAGGTTTTGTCATTGCAGTATGTTACTAAAAATAGCATGTTACTATAAATAGCATGTTACTATAAATAGCATGTTACTATAAATAGCATGTATTAGTCATCATTAATTTTTTCTTCTATATTAGGACGAGTCACATTTTTTGAAAAATTACAAAACTGCAAGATCGAAAGCAACTGTGCCATTAATAAAGGTGCTGTCATATTTATCATTTATTATTGTATTATTATTATTATTATTATTATTATTGTTGTTGTTGTTGTTGTTGTTATAGAAAGCAAAGAGGGCATTGTTACTATCTGGGACTCCAGCTCTCTCCAGGCCCATCGAACTATACACTCAAATAGCATCACTGGACAAACAGTTCACTCTATCAATAATTGACTATGGGAAGAGATACTGCTCTGGTGCACAGGTACTGTCAGGTAGAATATAACTATTCTTTCAGTCTTTGTTGGTTTGTCATACTGTATAGCGAGAAATTTTGGAGGATGTTAAATTTGTTAAATGGCTAAATTTTGGCGATTGGCAAATTTGTGGCATGTGCCATTTGATGGCTCAAAGTGGTGGATTTTTATTGGTTATCAAAATGCCAAATTTGCCAAATTTAATCTCTTCAAAATTTCCTGCTATATGGTAATTTTTCTGCTTCTATTTATAGAATAAGTTTGGTTGGGACTTTAGTGGCTCCTCCAATATGTCAGAGTTGCAACTTTTCATGGAACAGAAACTGATGATAAGGTAGCTCATTATAACATTAATTAACCAATCAATTAATAAATCAATCAATTGATTAATATTTCTTAGGAGACTCAAGATTGACGTCTTGGATCAGTTACCATCCAAGCAAAGACAGACTGTGAGTTATTAACTATTAGTTAATTAATTTTAATAATATTTATTAGGTGTTGTTGGATCCCTCTATGACTAAAGGGAGGGCCAAAGAATGGAAGGAACTACAAACTGAATTAAGCAAAGTCCCAACATTAGATAAAGCAAGCTAATATTATCTTATTATTTATTGGGCAAAACCTTTAATGATGAAGTGTGTAATATTATTAAAGTTAAATAACTACTCTTCATGACTAGGAACATTTTTTTCTAGTTATTTTATTTTATTCATGACTAGGGGCAATGCTTTACATTCTCTTTCTATTTATTTTATTTTATTCTTCATTTTTTAGAAAACTCGTAAGGCTGCTTTGCTTCCTTTATTCAGTAAGACTGGGCTTATGAAGCTACCAGCTGTGAAGTAAAAAAATGCGATTAAATTCAATATATAATTACAACTATTGACTGATGTTCTATTATTAGAGATTATATTATTGATCAGCTTCAAGGAGATAGAAAGTTATTAGTTTTTGCACATCACAAGCAAGTGATGGATGGTATCTGTCAATCACTCAGAGATAAAGTATATTATTATTATTATTATTATTATTATTATTATTATTTATTTATTAATTTTGTTTATTAGAAATATCCTTTTGTCCGTATTGATGGGAATACAGCTTCAGAGCTTCGTCAGCAGTATTGCGACAGGTTTCAACACGACACCAAGTGCCTGGTAGCAGTTTTGTCTATAACAGCAGCTAATACTGGTGAGGGGCGTGGTCTGGTTGCTATGGGTGTGGTCTGGTAACCAAGGGACATGCTTTAATTTTATGGTTTGATAGGTTTAACGCTGACGGCTGCTTCTTGTGTTATTTTTGCTGAGCTGTTCTGGAACCCTGGGGTGAGTTTTTTCATTACTTAACACAACGAGTCTTCTTTTACAATAACTCTGTGAATTCATTAGGTGTTGGTTCAGGCGGAGGACAGGGTGTATCGAATTGGACAGCACAACTCTGTTAATATTTATTATCTGGTGGCACAGGACACTGCCGATGACTATATTTGGTATTTTAATATTAAGTTACTAAAAATGAAATACTCTATTATTATTGTTATTATTATTATTATTATTATTATTATTTTATTGAAACTATTTCTCTTTATTTTTATTATTATTTTATTGAAACTATTTCTCTTTATTTTGTATGTCCAGGCCTATGGTGAGGAGAAAGCTTAAAGTATTGAATGAGGCTGGTCTGGCTGGAGAGGATTTCACTAGTTCAGAAAATGCAACACATGTCCAAAAAGTAAAAACAGCTAATGAATTATTGTTTTTTATTAATAATTATTAAAACTTTTCTTATTTAGTTTGCATCTGATCCACAATTAAAACTTGATGATTGGTTTATTGAAGACGAATTAAAACCGGAGCCAATGGAAGACAAGTATTTCAGTTCAACTCCACCCACTGCTGATGACCACACCCCTTGCCACGCCTCATCCAGCAGCACTGGTAGTACTAAATATAAGGACAGCGATGATGAGATTCAGGATGTAGGTGGCGATGATAATTCTGATGAGGAAAATGAAGAGAAATGGTTTGAGTCGTTAAACGAGAATGACCTGTCAGCTTTCTTTGACGATGATTTTGATTAGAAAGTCGGACACATTATACATTAAAATGAATCCCTCTATCTGCATGTGTATCTATTTCTCCATTTTATTTCATTTGATGTTATTTTTGTGTTTTGTTTCGATAAAGTTTACTGTACATGTATATATATATAAAAGAATAAAATAAAATAATGAATATTGAATTGCTACTACACAGATAAACAATAGTATGAGTAATATTTGTTTCTTAAACAGAGTCATCGTGGAATACCCATGTGGTCTTCTTAGGGTTTGATGGAGCAAACCTCATATACATTGAATCATCGTCTGGTTTTACCTTTAGAAAATAGCAATTTCTAACAAAATGCTTATAACTTTACTTAGCATATAAGATGATAAAAACATCAGTATCTTACTAACAAATATAATGATGAAAAAGACACGTTTTTGGAATGTAGCCTGGCCTATTTTTAAATGCTAATAGCTTGAACAAATTTTGATTTCCATGGCTTAGATCTAAAGGGAGTTTAGGAGACTTTTGGTCCTCTAGGTATTCTCAAAACTCCCATTTTTGGGCTCATATATATATATATATATACTGTATAGCGCTTTATTTTGGTGGCGCTTTATTTTGGCAATTTTGCTGTAAAATTGTAATAGACGGTTTTTAATTTGGCGATTTTTGTGTACACGTGCATTATTGAGCATGCACATTAATGATTCTGCTTGCAAACTGCCAATCGCCAAAATAAAACTCTGCCAAATTAAAGCACTATACAGTATATAGCCTAAGCCTTCTAAAATCTCACTTTTCTACTTAAATTCGTCTCCTAAAATTTATTTCTGGTCTAAGACTGCACATTACATGTCCTAACTTACTTTTTGAGTACATGAGCTAAGCATGCTTAGTATACTGAGGCAAATTGATGAGACGTTTAGGGCAGGCGACCAGTCTCTATCTAATATCGACAAACAGATGTGACCGTTACTGTAGACATGAGGATGGACGGGTAAATATGGCTTGATGAATGTCACCTTGAGGAAAAGAGAAAAGTGATAATTAATTTTTCAAAAAATTTTTGTTTTACTTGGGGTGAGTCAAATGGGTACTTGTCATTGAATTTTATATTTAGTTTAAATTGTTCCCCGCTATACAGAGTCCCTTCAGCTCCGGATATGTGTATTATCCAACTAAAAAATCAAGAAATGGGAAGGCAAAAAAAACAATTTATTAAACAAGAAGGAAACCACCAATTCCACAAACTTTGTTATATTATTCTCCAGTACAGAGTCGTCTAAGACTACACCCGGTGGAGGGCTTTTCTTTAATTCCATGTACTCCTTTTTGAGTCTCTTGAGAAAAGCCATTTCTTTGTAGGCGTGACTAGCCCCTCCCATAGACACGCCTATTAAAAAAACCACGTGTAGCCGTCACAATGGCGTCCACTGAAGACTTACCAAAGGGAGCTATAGGAGACGTTGCTAGAGTACAAGTTGATGGAGTGGTCGGTATTTATACTAAGTGATCTTTTTCCTTACCCTCCCGCTTCTCAGGTCGCCCTCAAGATCATCAAGCATTGTCAGGAGGAGGGGATCGGTACAGAATTGGTGAAAGGTTTTCTAGTTGGACTTGTAGTTGGGGACACTCTTGAGGTGACTAATTCGTTTCCATTACCTAAAGCAATCATCACGTCAAAGAATCAATCAAGTATGGGATAAAATTAAATTAATTATTAAATCTTTTATGAACTGATTCTGATTTTTTGAAAATTTAAAATTTGACAAAATTTTCTGTACTATAGTACAGGATATTTTGTCAAAAATGGCTAGGAGAGAATTTTACATTTTTATATTTTTTCCTGATACACATACATGTCCTTATGTTGTGTAGAAAGTTTGAGTGGATTCCAATCAAATTTGGATTTTTTACGAATTTTTAAAGCTGCTCCAAAATCTGGTAAAAGTCCCTGTACTATAGTACACGGTCTTAAGCCAAATTTCACCAAAATTGAAAAGGAAAGAATTCTTCATTTTAATAATTTTTTCTGATACATATACACGTCCTTATGTTGTGTAGAAAGTTTGAGTTGATTCCGATTAAATTTGGATTTTTTTATGAATTTTTATAAGACCTCTCCATTAGGTCAGTATCAACGTGACATGTTAAGTAATCTACGAAAAGTCAATGCGGACTATCACCAAGTTGGCTGGTACCAGTCAACTTATCTCGGCCCTCATTTCAGTCAGGTCTTCCTTGAAAGTCATTTTCAGTATCAGCTCGAAATCGAAGAGTCCGTCGTCCTTATATACGGTAAGCAGTATAACTCAGTATATTTTAGTATATTATGTGGCAGACCCCCTGAAAACAACTCTCGGGAATTTGAGCTTGAGGGGGTTTAGGTTGACAAGGGAAATGTTGGATCTTCTTAAGAATAATGACGTCTTTACTCCAGAGAGGTAAGTTTGTGCAATTGTAAAACTGAAATTTATATTCAGAATTGGCTATTTCGCTAATCAATTTCGTTTATTATTTTTATGTTGGGTGTTTTACTTCTGTTGCCATTACCTTTTTCCTCTCTTTCTCCCCCTCTTGTCTACTCCTCTCTCAGTCTCCAGGCTGCTGGTTTGAAACACGGTGACATGTTTGAAGAGTTACCGGTCGTCCTCCGTCAGTCTAACCTAGTCAATGGTTTACTGCACAGCCTTGCACCAGATGATCCACCATACGACCTACTACACCTATCAGCAACGTAAGCCTGTCCCTCTTATATCTCCTCTCTCTCTCCTTTCAATTCCCTAAATTTTGCTTTGTCTGTACTTTCTGTAATACCTCTCCCTTTTTCTTTTTCTTTTTGTAATAATTATTTTGTCTCTTCTCTTATTTCCAGGCAGCACCTGGAGAGTCACATGTATTTATTGATAGACTCCCTAGAGTCCTTACAGCAGGAGACTTATAAGATGTTAGGATATGAGAGAAACTATACCAAACAGCAACAAATGAAGCAGCAGTTCCTACTCAAGAGAGTGAGTCACATGTGTTAACAATTACCGTACGGTTGGTAAATTTCGTGGGATATTAATTTTTGTTAATTTTGCAGTTCATTTTTATCCATGAAATTTTAGCCACTACCACCCACACATAAAAAACTAATTAATGGGCCATGCTATTTCCAAGCCAGTGGAGGAGCCAAAGTCTTTGTCTATTATTCCATATTCCACTATATTCCATGTATTGGAAGCTAGTGCTCTAGATTCAAGTGAAAGAAGTTTGCTAACTGCTAGCCACGAATATTTGTACCCACAAATGTCAGCTTCTAAGGAAGTTTTGAAGAAAATGCACTCTTGAAAATTACCAACCATACAATAATTTTGAAATAGTTAGAATTTGACTGAAAACATTTTGAGCCATTAATGATGGCACGTGGCTACAAATTTGCCAAATTAAAACCCAACTTGCAATCATACCCAATATTATTGCTATCAATGATAATAATCAATAAATAAATTAATGGGAATAGTAGTACACTTTTGCTTATTCTTTGAATTCTTTGTGTGTTGTCAATTTGTCAGACATCATTGTTTCGTAACTTACCATGTTAGCAGCCACTACTGTTTGTGGCATGGGATGTTGGTTTGGCAGCCTGCCCAATTATTAATAATATTATCTTCTTAAACCATACATGTGTGTGTTGTATCTTGCCGCACACCAAAGGCTTTTCTGATTTTTTTTTTGATCAAAGGAAATGTCAAATTACAAACAAGTTACAGTAATTATTTTGATGGCATTGTGTGGAAAATTTTAAACTTTGAAGCTACGAAGTGAAGCCTATTTTTATGTTTTGTCGTAAGAGTACATTTGCATGTGATAATTATGCTATTTTAAAACTCCTATAATTATGTTAAAAAGTGACCATCATCTTTAATGTGTGTGTGTGTTTGTGTAGTATTTTCCTCCTTAAAAGTTAATGCACTAATTGTTGTTATTACTGAGGCTGAGATCACATCCTAATTGCAATTATATTTTAATTTATCACGTACACACTCACGTTTATATTTACCTTTGCATATGTTAATACAGAAAGAGGAAAATGCTCGTAGGGCTAAAGAAGGCGAGGAATTGCTACCCGAAGACGATAAATCAATTGAGAAAGAACTTAACGTGAAGCCAACCCATGCTCCTCCTAGACAGCAAGCTTTATTAACAGCTGAACAAGTCGAGAGTCAATGTGAAGAAATTATAGACGTGAGCGGACAGGCTTTCTCTAAACTCTATCTATCGCAAATGCTGAATCAGCAGTGAGACCTCCTTATAAGGAAGACTAGGAGTTGGACGGAAATTTTGTGCTTTATTAATTATACAAATTACATTTTGTACGCATATACTGGTAATTGTAATTTAATATCATATAAATCATTATAAGTCAATCATTGACTGTGAAATTACAAGTAGTCGTTATGGCGATTATAACCATTTTGTAATTCTTATTTTTTACTTCCCTCCTCTTCAAAGACTGGTGCATGCTTATTATCACAAGCATCAGACAACGTATGGAGGAAGATCAACATGTATGTAAAGGAAGAAAGCAGTTACTACTGATATCTGATTTGCCAAGTCCTTTATACACAAACACTTAAACTAGGAAAGCTATTAAATTATAATTAAAGGGTTGCAATTGTTTTTAAGTGGAGATACATGTAGCAGTACGATCCTGACAATGAAGAGTATGCCCTTCCCTCAAATTGAAGGTTAATGTTGTATCTGATGACAAGAGTACATAATGATTTATAACATTGTAAAGATTTTATCTGTCAAGAATGACTAAATCTAGAAGGACGTCCTGCACTGGACTTGACATACAAGTGAAATCATGCCTACTGTTTGAGATAAGATAACTAACATTTTTTAGCTTTACAATTTGGTCTCATCATCCAGGTGTCCTTAAGTTTACCATTTTTAGCTATAGATCTAACAATGATCGCATTGGGATATTTTGTATTGTATTTTTGTGTTATGTACATCTATAACCTCCTTCGGTCCTTCCCATACTCTTCCATCATGTGTTTAGAATGTGTTTGTGGCATTTGAATTGTTTATGTAACCCTCTGAAGAATGTCCATGGTATTTCTAAGAAACATCCATTGATCTAATTGCACTAGTGCACTTGCCATATACAGCCTTGTATCTTTGCCACACCACTAGCCAATTCAACCCTTAGCTAAAAACAATGTGTGTATGCTCTTTTTTCTTTGATCTGACTCTGTTTGGAAAGTTCATCCTTGCTTATACTTGGAAATCTTTTTATCTTTTTTTATATTTTGGCTCAAAGGTCGAATGTTGGCAGATCTGCCGTTTGACATTTGGCCCGAAACATCAATTTATGTCTATGATTGGAGCATCGTCCCTGTCCCACTATCATATTATAGAGAGATGTGATTTTTTGTTTATTAGCATAGTCCAAGAATATTTCTTTTAGAGCAAGAGACAATCGAGAATGTACACAATGTTCACAGGTAGTTTGAGGTTTAGATCTAAGCTATGCTCACTGCATATAAAAATATTCTATTTTTATGCCTAATATCATTTCACCACCAGACTATGGACTACCCCTTTATTATTGTAGCTTTGGGTCACAGAATCAGTTATTGTGGGCACTATGTGTACAAAAGCTATAGAGAAACTTCAAAAGTGTCAGGCAGATGGTGTCTAATGGTAAATTACACACCCATACCACATTGGCTCTTACTCAATGTTTGTAATGATTCCCTTACAATAATAGTCATAGCTGGTCATTGTAGACGTTCCTCTCTTTACATTGTCAATGATCTGCGATGTGACTTGTAAATGTTTGTCTTCTCTCTCACTCATAATTGAATGGTGCCATTATTCTTTTATGTCCATTATAATCCTATTATTTAAGAGATGTCTAGCCTCAGTCGGGAACTTGATTAGATCAAAGGAACATTTCTTTGTTTATTACTTGGAATTTCGCTTGTCGTCTGGTGGACTGTCTTCCTTTAATGTCATTTGTGGTCGTTTTGTAGCGAAGATGATAGGGAGGGACTGGTACTAATTATAATTAGTTTTGATGGTATTTTGGTAACCATTTTATGAATCCTCTTTTCCATTTAGAAATGAGACCATATTTGTTAATGTATCAACAACTTAACATATCACATTTTTTAATGACCCACTGTTGCAAGTGGTGTAGATTGTACCATTATTTTTTTGAGATGCCCATTTTGATCACTTTTGTCAATAATCATTTTTTATTTTATGACAACTTGAATAAACACAAAATTACATGATAAAACAAAAAAGATTATAAAGAGAGATGGGGAGGAGGGGGTGTAGTAAAAAGAGTGAGGGATGAAATCAGTGCACATTGAGGAGTATAAGGACAGTAAATAAAACAACACCACACATCACACAAATAAACTGGACAGATTACAGATGAGAGATTAAAATGTCATTCTACCGTTTAGTTTATCGTTTTAATATTGTATATATATCTTTATATATAGCTGGATGAATGAGTGACAACGAAAAAAGAACATTAACCGTGAGTGTACGAGATTCATTTGAGAACGCTATTGCAAGCAATACTTTCCTTCTTCTCTCTTTTCATCATTTTCGACTTTAAAGACTGTCTCCCAGGTTGTCCTGATCCACCCGCTTGAAATACAGACGGAGGAGGTGGTGTAGGTGTCGCTCCACCATTATTAAAAACAGCGCCGCTGGTCTGTTGAGCCCCAGTCTCCATAACGTTCGGCTTGTTTCCTTCGTAGACTCTTATGAGGTCATTGAAGTAGGACTGGATGATGTTTAGCGTTGAGCTGATGTTGTGGTTTCCGAACCCGTGGGAGAGGAGACTAAAGTTAGTAAGTCCTGGGTATGGATTGCAGGGGTCGTCTGGCCGGAGGTTATTAGGACCTCCCACAGTGTCTACCATTGCTTGTAGCTCTTGTATCAATACCCTAAAAATGAAATTCAGTAATTATAATATTTGAACTTCAAAATAAATGGGCTTGTACCAGTCTACTAATGCGTGTTTACACACAATCAGCAGTAACAATGTAAGTATTAGGCTGTCATAAAAATGAATATCCCCCATTACAACTGCAGCCCAGCCCATTGAAAATTAATTTTTACTGCCTGCAGGCTTGTAATCTCAATATAATATTGTTTTAATCACTTACTGTGCTGCCTGGACCATTGATATCCTTCTCTCCACGTGTGGGCTATTAATGTGCTGTGCTCCTATGATCTGGGCCAGTTCAGTATGAGGGAAATAATTCTCACAGAGCCTCTTAAAGTCCTCGGCAAGATGGACGGCCTCTCCCTCGACAAGAGAAGTGAGGAGGAACAGCTCTGTCTGCTTCCTACGCCCAGCAGGTAGAGAGAGGCCTTTTGCTTCTAACCTCTGTCTCAGATGATGACCACCATTCTTTGATTTGGCTCTATAAGGAATGATGCCATTAATATGATTTAATAAGAGTACACATAGAGAAACTCCCTCTTTTTCTACAGTTGCAGAGTTAGGCTTTACCTCACAGACTGCTACAACAACATTGCCAATAGCAATAGTGGCATTACCTCAATGTGTTTGGAATTAATGACTTCACGTGTTTGTATCATGCAATACAAATATAGGTCAGGCAGTAATGACATTATGGTGACTAATAGTGACACTCAGAATAACTTGATATGCTGGTATTTAATTATTAGAATCCTGATCTCACTGTTATTATTATTATTATTATTATATTTCTATTTTTTACCTTCTTAATATTCCTCCTAGTACTGATGCGTTGAGGCACTCTGGTCCTGAGAGACGTCTCCTAACTTCATCGAGTGATACTTTATATTTCTGTGTTGCACTCAAGAGGGAGAGTCTTCCAGGGACTAAACAGAATACATCGTCAGCTTCATCCCCTCCTCCTCCTCCTCCTACTACTCCTCCTTCCACTGCTCCACCCCTTGGGTCATCTCTGTTTGTCTCAGTCGGTTCAGGAGTTGAGCCTAGAGGTATGAAATATTATTATTATTATTATTATTATTGTTAATATTGTTATTATTACTATTGCATTCATATGTCATTTGATCTACTCTTGACTCATGTACCTGTGAAAGTACATGTACACGGATACAATATCTCTATTGCTAACTCATGTACAAGTACAAGTACATATATGTCCATTACATGCATACTAAACTCATTACTGTACATGTGCATGTACATTCATGCTGGATAAAGAATCTGTCCTGTCTAATAATGAATAAGGAGACATACAAACTACAGACATATTAGGATATGAGGTCACATTAAGGGTACAGAGGCCTACTACTAGTATATCAATAAGACTTCATAGAATGTCCACGAGATCATCCAATCCCAGGAAATCATGATCATAATTGGTAGTGACCTTCAGGCTGTGTATGCTAACATGGGCAGATATTATATTAAAGAGTAAAGAGAGTCCCCCCAGGCTACACAAACATCTACTTGTAGCCATGCATGATTCCTGTACACTTACTACTAAATACAAGTATTGTCTATGCAAACCAAGCCAGTGTTATTGGAATTGAACCATAACTGTCTACAATATTTCCTTCTTATGAAGCTTGCAAACACACATAAGCTCATTCATTGCTGGCCTATAGTCATTATTGTAAAGAACCACAACACTTAGCATTGGGCTACCAATCAAGAATGAGTGGGTATAGCGTGAATATCATTGCTACCGTACATGTATATTTCACTCCAGCAAGTTCTTCAAATACAGGCCATAGTGAAAGTGGCTGTAAAAACAAGTCGAGGTGGATTTAGGTGGACGAGGAAAATGCTCATCATTCATTTTTAACAAAATATTGCAGACCAGAGCATAAAGTTTATCTACCTCATTAGATATACAGGACTTTAACCTACTAACAAAAACAAAAAACAAACAAGCTTTTCTTGAGAATCATGCTGCCCTTTCACTTTTATGCCCTTCCACTTTTTCCTTATACTTTCCTACTTTCCCTATCCCCATATGTGTACATACATGTACATGTATGTACATGTACATGTATATTACTAGTACATGATGTATAAATCATTGCATAATTATTATTATTATTATGCACAACCATGTATAGATTACATTATTATTACTATTACTAGCAGCATACTACTCCATACATTATATGTACATGTACATGCGTAATACAGGGAGGGATTGTTTTTGGCTTTTGTTGTACAAACAAACATTCCAGTCAACACTGTACACTACAACAAAAGTAACTGAGTGGTCATGCGATCAATACACGAGTATTATAAGACAAGTATTCATTACATAATGTGTTGGCAGGTACTCTCATTCAAATATGTACCTGTACCCTGTTTATGTGTGAGTGGTAACACTGACCTCTACTGGACGAAGGAGAAGAGACACAAGATGAGTTTTGTAGAGGATTAGCTGGACTAGAGTGATATATGACATTAGTATAGGCAGCCTGTGGAGAGAAAGTAAGAGAGAGAGGGAGGGATGGAGGGCAATAAACACATGATATGGTATACTAAACACTTCACCATGTCACGGGCAAAATATGATACAAAATTGTAAGATTTAGAATACAAGTGCATACTGATACAGATAAGGCAAAAACAGGATAATGGAGTGACAGATGTGCTGCTCCACGTATAAAAACAATATGGGAAGACCTGGCAGAGAGCACACCTACAATCCTAAGTGACTTGTAAGTGGTCTTAACCACATGACTTCCCCTATACTTCACAGGCACTTTATTAAGCCTGCCTACCCTGCCTCCTCTCCTCCCCTCCACTACTTTGCTCTTCCCATTTCTTGCTTAATATCTCTCATTATCCTCTTTATGTCATTGGCCATCTCTCCTCTCCTCTCTCTTTCCCCCTCCTTCTCTCTCTCTTTCTCCCTCCCCCCCCCTCTCTCTCTCTCTTCTTGTGTACAGCAGGTAAAGGTGAAAATTAGATAAAGCCTCAGTCTATTCTCACGATTATTATTAAATAAAGAAATTGAGAGGGAGAGAGGCCTTATCACAAACAGGTGTGATCCCCTTTAAGTGCTTCAATAGATCACACTAATGCATTTAAGAAAAGGGACACTCATTCTTCAAGGCAGCAAAGATCAATGAGACACAAATACACACCACACTCAAGGCAATTCTCTTTGATCACGTCCTTACTAAAGCTTTGAATGTAAAGGCCATGTACATGTACAACCTCTCATAATCAATGTAGTTTGTAGTACAGATAAAATACACTGTGAGACATGTAAATGTACAGGCATTGGTGACAAGCATAATACATGACACAAGTCTTTGAAGCATTATTGACTGAGATGCATACATCTACCACTACTAACATGCCAATAGTAATTGAATTAATTAAAAATAAATATTTTATATTCCTTTCTAGAATATGTTTGTCAATAGATGACTTATTATTGGATAGTTTACTTGGACTCTCTCCTTTCTGTTGTCCCCCCCCCTCTCTCTCTCTCCCGTTCACATTATGCACACACTCACTCTATGTACACATTAAAGCACATTAGAGAGCTTCAAAGCTACTTAATGAATCTCAAGATGCATACAAAGCAATATCACCTTACACAAAGAAAAGTGAGACTATTCACAAGTCAAGTAATGGCCTTGTGTTAGTAATAAGGAAGGCTGTGAATAACAAATGGAGTTGTGAATTAATATATGCACTCACTCCATATGCTCGCTCAGTATTGTTTTTTATACATGACTCCAGGCTATGGAGTCCAGTACTACAATAACTGACCTTTGGCAGTGTAACAACAATCACTTACATCACTATGATTGATTGGCCGATTGATATAATAATAATAATAATAATGATGTACCGACACTCATACCACACAGAATTGTAAAACTATAAATTGATGCTATGGCAATAATGCAATCTCCCCCTCCAACTCTTCCATATCTCTCCCACTTATACTATAAGAATAGTGGATTGGTTTTAAAATTAATTACCAGATACAGTGGTACACACACACACACACACACATACACACACACACACACACTCTGTCACACCTGTTTGGCATAGCCAGACAGGCTGCCCTATAATTGACCACTAGGAGGTTAAGGCACTCATGCAGCTAATAAATGGACAACAAATACCGATAGAGGATCTGTTATTAGTGACTGTGGGCTATTGACTATCCTCCACATGAGCTCATGCTATAGTGAGTGAATGAAGAAGACATACGAAGAATTGTGAAGTGATAGGGATCAACTAATTAGATGAGGAATTATAAAATGATTAGACACACATACAAAGCATTTTAATGTACTTTATACAGGCACATATATACCAGTATGCTACAGGTAATTTACAATCAGGAAGAACTTGATTAGCCTGAAACAATTTATCTCATAATACTCAATACATATATAGGTCAATGATGTATACTGCTGTGTATACTTGGGCAATCCTTGTGGGTAGTATCTAAGGTTTCTGAAGTTGGACAAGTCATTATTATCTCTACAGCTTTAAGAATAATAGAGCAGTCAGAGATATTTTAAATTGGAGCAATGCAATATAATGATGTAAAAGTATCCATCTTTATTTGGAGACATAATGACATTACTTGCTGACTTCTAGTCAAAACAACTGATACCTAATTCAAGTGTGAACATAATTGAGAGTCTGTCCTGAGGTAACACAATAACATATCACTGGGTTTGATTAAATAATTGTAACTGGGCCACACTGCGCTCTACGTTCACATATAAACGGCATGTTTACATTTGACAATGGGCATTTGCATATTACAAGTGTGAGGAGAGAAAATGAGGCTCCCTTGAGATTAAAACAATGGGAAAGGAATTGCCTGAGGTGATTGTGTGGATGGGATTATAATTTATGGCTTGAGGTACAATATAAACTACAAACAAGCAAAATTAATTATTAATGAATATAAGGATTAGTGGATGATGCTGTGTACATAAGCATTCGTCTTTTATGTCTAAGTGGTTGTCCGCATAATTGCAGTTCAAAGTGCACTGTAAGAATACATGCCCTTTACTCTCTCCCTCGCCCATCATTAGTACATGTACATACATGTACATGCGTGTAGCACTGCCTTAAGAAAATGGTGGGGGAGAGATTAATGTACCATGGCAAGGTATTGTAAATGCTGTAGGGTATAAAAGCATTGCTGACCACTCATCTCTGTATGCATAAACACTATACATTTTCACCAAAAAATACACAAACACACACATACAGATCCTTTCATCTTTTTGTGTAATCAACATGTGCATAACAAACCCTCTCTCTTTTTCCCTCTCTCTCTCTCTTTCTCTCTTACCTGATTCTCATATCCATTAATCCTGTGCTCTGTTGTAGTAGAGAGTCCAATGGAAGAAAGATTAGGATTCCCGCTTGAAAGTAAGACAGGAGGAGGAGGAGGAGGGAGGAGGAGAGAAGGTTGTGATCCTACTACATCTATCACTTCATTTTCGCCAGATCCATCATTATCCTCGTTAAGCGAGGGAGAAGAGACGCACTCGTCATCGGACACTGGTTCATCGGTCGGCGGTATGGTCACTCCAACGTGATACTCATCGGGTGCAACTCTCATTCCAGACCCGTGGTCATCCCGACTGGTATCTCCGCCATGATGGAGGCTTCCCTCACTCATGCTAGAGCAACCACTGGAGCTCTCCACCGAAGGTATGGAGGCAATGGAGGGAGGGGCACGAGGAGACCCAACGAATAGCATAGGGGAGATAGGGGAGCGATGGCTATACATGTATAGAAAAGGAGAGGAGATGTGACGCGGGGAGTAAAGGCAAGGGTAGACACTACTGCTCCCGCCCCCAGGAGTGTAGCTCATTTCTTGCGTGGGCGTAGAAGAGTCTTTTTGTCTCTCAGCCTCGTCTTCTGATTGAGGGCGGCCCCCGTCCGTGGATCGGTTTAAGTGTGATTTGACGGTAGAGGGAGGGGGAGGCTGATGGTGTATTGGCCTGGACTGGAGTGAAGGTGAAGGAAGTATCGGGGTACTTCCGGTGCTATTGCTAGGAACAAGTGAGGCTCTTGATGGAGTGGACAGTGAAGGAACAAGGGTCATTGAAGGATATATGAAAGGTGGCGTTCCTGTTGGTCTCTTTCCATCGTAAGCTGATCCTCCTGTCATTGATGCCAGGAGCGAGGCAGGCCAGCCTGCAACGTGAGGCTGAAGCTGGAAGGATCGCCGTGACTCTTCAGCAGCTAGTCTGTGGAGTCTTTCCTTCTCTTTTTGATCCTGTGAGAGTAGTGATGGTGAAAGGAAAGGATAGAGTAGGGAGAGTAAAGATCAAAGGGTTGAGATAATTGGGTGAAAGGAGAGGGGGAGAATTATAGTACATTTCCCCCATAGAGAGATATCTCATGCAAGTACACATTGCTGCAGTACTGACTTACCATTTTCTGTATCTTTCTATTTGGGGGACATGCTGAAGACTGTCCTCCATTTGGTACAGGTGATGACCTCTTTCTTCCCACTCTCTCCATTATCACAAAGTAGTCAAGTCAGTAGTACTATTATTATGCTGACCTAAAATAATAACAACACCTATTATAAACTTGTCTCTGCTTTTTTTATCACATGATTCCTCTCTGTCTTCAGTAATATTACTTTACAGATATTCCCTCTCTGCGGGTTAGAACAGGAGACTCCAGTCTGGAGCCTCCTAAACCCTAATGCAATACCCTGTTTGGGTACAATTCGTACTGGAATTATTGTTAAGCTCTGCTGCTACCTGTCTTTGGCTAGTGTTTACACTCAGCCCCGAGCCTATAGTCTGAAGGGCAAAACCAACAATCGCAGTAGGACAAGGATACCAGTCTCCACACTAAATGCTCTTTATTGTTGCGTTTATGCAAAACAACCGGCATTATTTTTATCTTTTGCGGGGATTTCGCCCACCGCGCATAGATTCCAGCATGCATGCATAACAACACTGCCCTCTCGCTCCTTTTCTCTGTACTTACCTCAAGAAGCTTGTGTCCCTAAAGCAAAGTGAGTATTTCCACTATGCGTCTTCTTTCGACTAGCAACGGGGACCCGCAGCGGTGAAATCAGCGAAGAAAATAATCAACTGCGTCAGTCTTGCAAGACGAGACAGCCTCTCTTTCTCCTCTAGTGTCTTATTTCTTCAGGATATGGAGCGATGTTGAACTTCTTATTTCAACATCATAACTACTACGGCCCACTCCCGAGGCGGTAGGGATATCAAAGAAACTAAAGAATGCCGAAAATGCATGAGCTAATTTATTCATAGACCACCGTGAATTGTTTACACTCGACGCCCACGGGGCTAAGTGATTCTCTCTACCCGCCGGTTTGCCCGGGTAGACCAGACCTTCAAGATGGCGGGTGCAGCCTCGTGGGTAAGGAAAAGCATTGATTTGTCAAGACTTCCCAGAATAAAGCTAAATACACTGCAGGACCTGCCTGGGGCATTGAAAAAGGTAATTTTAGTTTTAAAATAACAATAAACATTTCCTTATGCAAATTTATTGTGTTATCCACAAAGTTTGAGGTAATTCCAAACACAATTTTGAAGTTATGAGCTCTTGAAAAGTGTGGAATTCTACAAATAACCACTAGCTTATATTTCAGCCTATACTTGTCTAATAATGGCTTTGGTAATTTTTTTACATTTTCTGATTCACATTTTCTGATTCATATCAGAATTTACACTATGGGGGAGGGGTTGGGCCCAGACCTGGGGTTAATTAATTATAAAACATCAATTACAATTACATGCAAACTTTTTGAGTAATTTTAAAATTCATTAAAAAATCCAGTTCTGATCGGAATTAGCTCAAACTATGTATACAACATCAGGACATGCATACGTATCAGAAAAAATAAAATAAAAATGGAGAATTTTCTCCTAGCCATTTTTGACAAAATACCATGGATCTGGGTTTTCTCCAATCATAAAGTAAATAATAATAATAATAATAAGAAAAAGTGTTAAGAGTGTGTGACAGTGACAGACAAGAGAAATTACGAGAGAGAGAGAGAGAGAGATCAAATTAGGAGCAAGAAAGGCGTTTTAATTTGTATAGTAATTAATGTAAGTGGCTTGAGGCAAGCATACGTGTATGCAAATAGATGACAACCCTTGTTTCCTTGTTGTCACTTATAAACGAATTAATGGGTCACTTTTAAGGACTTTCTCTTGTTATCGAAATTGATTTAAAGCATTATAATTAAGTTAATGTATAGTATTACTTAGTACTATGGCAATCTAATTATTGCTATAGTGTGTATGTGTGGGAATGTGTATGTGTACCTTTTAGATAAACCACAGATATGTGAGTGGTTACAGTATCGCGTTACATTTTGTAATGAGTGATCCATTTCGTGTACAGAGTGTTTTATTGCTGTAGGAGCGTAGAGTTGGACGTGGCCCTGGGTCTAAAAGAGGGAAGACTTGCGGGCGTGGTCACAAAGGCCAAGTAAGTAGATGGTGAGTTATAAATGGTTTGTAATGGGTTCGTAGGGTCAGAGAAATCCTAAAAGCATTAGGGTCGGTTTTGAAGGAGGACAGACGCCATTTTATTTAAGAGTACCGAAACATGGATTTAAAAACAAGTATGCTCGCCTTTCTCCTCTCTCTCTTTCACTCTCTCTCTCCCTCTCTTCCCCTCCCTCTCTCTCTCTCACCATTCCAGGTTCAGAGTGGAGTACAAACCTTTTAATTTAGGATATTTGCAGCACCTCATAAACACAGGGAGAGTGGATCCCTCTCAGCCAATAGACATGTACACACTGAACAAGGTCAATACTCTTGGGCACATCAAACATGGGATAAAACTACTCGCAGACGTAAGAATAAATAAATAAATAGATAGATAATAAATAAATTAATAATTATAATTAATTATGCAGTCGACACAATGTAGAAATATGCATAATGAATAATGATTGTCCATTTATTGATATTTTAGTTCCTTCTTGATATTACATTATGCAAAAGCTCTATTGTGGTATTGTACTATACGATAAAGTCCTGTTATTCTATTTCCACTTGTTTTGTGTGTGGTTAGTATCCAGTAATTGAATTAGAGCTCTCTGAAGTAGCTAAACCACTCGCAGAGCATCACTACTTGTGTATTATTATCTCTCTCTCTCTATTTCTTTTATTTTTATTCTATTCTTGTCTTTCGTTCCTCTGTCTCTGTCTCTCTCTCCTCTCCCTCTCTCTCTTCTCCAAGGGTGCAGATTCGTTCACTTCTAAAGTAGACATAGAGGTTAGTCGTGCTTCCAAAGCTGCCATTGATGCTATAGAAAGAAATGGAGGAACGATAACTACGACTTACTTCAATAAACTCGGTCTTAGGGTTCACCTGAAGCCAGAGAAATACGAAGAGGGTAGGAAGCCACGCCAGGCCTTACCGGACAAATATGACATGAGGTACGTTAAAAATTGTTTTTTTTTTTCAATAAAATTATTTTACTCTTTTAGATATTATTTAAATCCTGAGAACAGAGGATATCTTCTAACTGAAAAGGGAGAGCAAAGACTAAAAGTATGATAATAATAATTATTATGCACTAATCCATTGGTTATAACATACTACAGTCTACAGTATGTTTTTCTCCATGATGTTGTTACTGTGTTTTATAGCTTACAGTATATATAATTACCTAATGCCTTATATGCAAAAGGTGGCGACAAAGCCAGCTAAGTTTTTGAATTTTTTGTTCCATTAAACATATGTGGCCCTGATTCTGTTATATAATTATTGGTTAATTATTATTTTATTAGCGTTGGAGTAAGAGTAACAGTTTTTATTTAATAATAATTTGTTCTTCCTATCTCTTTTATAGGAGGGCAATATGGCTGGTGCTTATCTCGGGGATGATGGTCGAGTTCATATTCCAGGAAAGAAAGTTACTCTTTATTCTGAACCATCACCGCCAAAAGATAAAAGTAAAGGAAGTGAAGAACAATGACAACAACAACAACAACAACAATAATATGTATTAAGCACATCATGGTCTTTAGTATAATAAAGAATGTAACTTTGACTGAGTCAAAATTAGGTGGATGAAAGCAAGAGCATTGATGAAAGGGTCATTTATAAAAATGAGAAAGGCTACAGATTAAAAAATAATTTGAAACCACATCTTATTCACACCTTGAGGTATAAACAATTCTTAATAGGGTGCCAGAAGTTTTTGGCTGCTCTGCAAATTTTTTCCACCCAACAAGATGCCAAGGATAAATTCTTGGCTCCAATTTAAAGAAGCAATCCTGCCATAGAGGCAGATGCAGTTGCTATGGAATATGCTATTGCAACTCGAGTGATTTTTCAGTGAACAATGTAGGAAGACTGATAGTCCATGAAGCTGTAAAAGGGACGAGAGTACAGATGAGTAAATATGGAGTATGCAGCTTAATGTCTTCTAGCTTTGTTGTAATTACTAGAACAAAAAACATGGTGAGATAATATGAACTCTTCCTTCCTTAAACCACACCAAGAGAGTCACGCGAACAATAGTGATATTATCATGTAGATTACTGTGGCTCTACATCATTACATTGCTGTTAGTATGTCTTGATACACTAGCTTGTTCTAATGCTATTATTATTATTATTATATCATTAGACATTCATAGTATGATCTTGTGTGGAGTGTTTTGACTATACGCAAAGATCAAAAGCTGCCCCTACAATAACAAGTCTAACAATAAAATTAATACGAAGTGATTCTTCTGTCTTATTCATTGTTTTATTTTGTATGTCCATGGATGAATAACTGGTTTATTAACATAAGAGAAGAAGAGACAGAAATTAACATAAAGAGTAGGGGAAGGGAGAGAGAGAGAGAGGGAGAAGGACATACAAGTGTGAGAAATAAAGGAAGGAAACAAGCTTGTTACTTCCCTGATCTAGTAAGCCACACAGTTCACATCACACATGCCACTACAAGCGTGTGCTCTCCAAGGAGACAGGCATAGTGTTGCCAGGCAATGATACAATCATACCCAATAAATGAATCACAATAATCACTCAAGAACAAAGAGAAAAGAGGTGGGAGGGAGGGAAGAGTAGATGAAAGGACAGACAAAAGAGAGAGAAAGAAAATTAAAAGGTTTATTTTTAAGAAACAAATCCACTATTGACCGGTTGATAGTTACTGGTTTTATGGTCGGACGGGTTGGGCGAGGCTTCGTAAGTTGCTATGGTTACTTCGTGTCTTACGGCCTACATATGGAATGAAGTACACTAAAGAGAGAACTAGGAGTATACACACATTAACAATAAATTGGAACAGTCACTTAGATATTGTCAAATGTCAATTAGACATTCCTGTACCTCACTGAAATCCCCTCTAAGTCCTATATAGTATACTCGTGTGGTTTCATCTCCGTAGTTGCCAGGTATGTGAATCACTAGGCTCGAGACAGAGTTGAATCTTGATGTCCTACAAGGAGAAGGAAGAGACAATTCCTGTCCTCTAATCGCTGCTAATACTCGGAACTATAATTAGTGCCAATAAAAACAGTATTAAATTCGCCTTTAAAAAAATAAACAAAAATACCAACTCTTACTACTACTATTATCGCTATGACACATATGCATTAGCATCTGTGAGATCACTGACGCAAACCCATTACTATATACTTTATAAGATTACCTCATGCATCAAAGAGATGCTCTGTAGTTACTATCACACATATCATAATGCTATTAGCCTCCCACCTTATGCTGTACTGTATGCTAACAAACAGTATTACTTTATTGGATACTCCTTCTCTCCAGTCTCGTCGTGTGCCACTCTTATGGACTGCTCTGGTTCCCCTCTTACTTCATCAAAACCCTGTGGATTACGGTTCTTAAACCTATATTAAATATTAAGGCTGTTCAAGACCCCTTGACTGTACTTACAGTCTGAGCTCGTTTGGATGCTGGCCCCCTTCACCTCCGAATAATACCAGACCCTTTAGCTTGACATTACCGGTAAACCTGTAGAAACATATTGGATAGATCAACTCTGAAAACACTATTAGTAACTATAATGGGAAACTTGGATCAATTCTGATGAAAGATAGAATTTTACATGCACATTTCATTCTATACAGCATTATGTACATGCATAATACATGTATATTTGATTCTTATTATTAAAATATAAAACAATAAAACATTGATTATTAAATGTACTTACGGTATGTAAAATAAAAGCTCTTCATCAACATCGCTCTCAACATACTAAAAAATTAAGATAGAAATTTAACTTGGACTAAAATATTACATAATTATATGCAATCAATAAAAAACTCAAATAGACACACACAATCTATAAACAGACTATCATAATTAACACATGTACATGTAAAGGTATATGTACATGTATGCTGTCACGCTCGTTGGTACCATTTTCGTATCCAATCTTTCCTCCCAAGGCTTGAATACATTCTTTCCGGAGTCTTCTTCACTCTCATTCAAACACTTAACGTTAATCAAGTCAATCTTTTGGTAGAGACTGTAGGCTAAGGAGAGGTCCCCTGGGTCTCCATGGGCGTGGTCACAACCTCCATGTCCATGATGATGATGATGGTGATTACCATCCGCCATTTTGTCTCCGTATATTAAAAAATATTATCCGTATTCCTTTGTATACTGGCTACCCACGTGCTCCCATCATGGAGGCTGAAGACTCTACTCCCTCGACTTGCACTACAAAGAAAGGGAAAGAGAGTCAGGCAATGAAGCCAGCGAAAGGAGGGAAAGCTAAAAGGAAGGAATATAACCGCCGGAATGAGCCACAGAGCGTCCTCAAGGTACAGGATGACAAGGAAGAGGATGTGGAAGCATTACAGGCCTTTGATTTCCTTTCTGCTCGTGCTAAAGAGTTCAGTAGTATGCTCTGGGCTGTCCGTAACAAAGGAGGCGCCAAGAGAACCTTCCAGAAGCTCCCGCGTCACATGAGACGGAGAGCGATGAGTTTTAAAGTCTCGCGTCTTCCGTGGAGAGAGAGGGAAATGGCAGCTGCTGAGGTAAGGGATGGGATTAATAGTGAAACAGGTTCTGTAAGTGGTGTGCATAAATGGCTCTGAAATCACCCCAAATTTTTATTACATTTTCTGATGCATATTGATGTACTTATGCTGTGTGGAAAGTTTGAGCTGATTCTGACAAACAATTTTTGAGTTATGAGCATTTTAAAAAATAAGCCAATTTTTGAAAAATACCCAAGGCTATAGCCCATGGTTTTTTGCAAAAAATGGCTCCGAAATTACCCCCAATTTTTATTACATTTTTTGATACATATTGATGTCCTTATGCTGTGTAGCAAGTTTGAGCTGTTTCTGACGAATATTTTTCGAGTTATGGCCATTTTAAGAAAATGTGAAAATTCTGAAAATACCCAAGGCTATAGCCCATGGTTTTTTGCAAAAAATGGCTCCGAAATTACCTCCAATTTTTATTACATTTTTTGATACATATTGATGTCCTTATGCTGTGTGGAAAGTTTGAGCTGATTCCAACAAATAATTTTTGAGTTATGAGCGTTTTTTAAAACGAGCCAATTTTTAAAAAATACACAAGGCTATAGCCCATAGTTTTTTCCAAAAAATGGCTCCGAAATTACCCCCAATTTTTATTACATTTTCTGATACATATTGATGTCCTTATGCTGTGTAGCAAGTTTGAGGTGATTCTGACTTCAATTTTTTGAGTTATGACCATTTTAAGAAAATGCCAAATTTCTGAAAAATACCCAAGGCTTCCAAAAAATGGCTCCAAAATTACTCCAAATTTTTATTACATTTTCTGATACATATTGATGTTCTTATGCTGTGTGAAAAGTTTGAACTGTTTCTGACAAATATTTTTTGAGTTGCGGCCATTTTAAGAAAATGCTAAAATTCTCAAAAATACCCAAGGCTATAGCCCATGGTTTTTCCAAAAAAATGGCCCCGAAATTACCCCAAATTTATATTACATTTTCTGATACATATTGATGTCCTTATGCTGTGTAGAAAGTTTGAGGTGATTCCGACAAATATTTTTGAGTCGCAGCCATTTTAAGAAAATGCTAAAATTCTGAAAAATACCCAAGGCTATAGCCCATGGTTTTTTCCAAAAAATGGCTCCATAATTGCCCCAAATTTTTATTACATTTTCTGATACATATTGACATCCTTATGCTGTGTGAAAAGTTTGAACTAACTCAGACAACTAATTTTCGAGTTATGAGCATTTTTAAAAATGAGCCAATTTTTTAAAAAAGCAAGTTTTTTCTCAAAAAATGGCTCTGAAATTACCTCCAATTTTATTAATTTTTTAATGCATATTGATGTCCTTATGCTATTCAGAAAGATTTTAATTCATTATTATTACTTCCAGTTAGAAGAATCAAGCGATGGCAGTCTAGCGAAGAAAAAGAAGAAGAAACAGAAGCGTAAAAAGTGCAACAGCAGGGAAGACTATCTCAAGAGACAAAAGGATGGAAAGAAATGGCTTGAGACCCACATCTGGCACGCAAAGAGGATGCGTATGGGAATTAAATGGGGATACAAGATCCCACTGGAGTCTTTTAGTAAAGGGAAGCGTGTTAATTATAGATTCATGAAGAAAGGGACACTGATATCTGTAAGTGAGTGCATTGGGTGATATAATCATTATGTAATATGGTTATATTATCACTTAATTGTGTGTGTCTATTGAATTGAAGCTGGTTCAGGGGTTCGCTAAGTAAGCGAAAAGTATGCAACTTGACTTCAAATTTTGATTGAAATCAACTCAAACACATTTATTGTAGCAATTAAGAATTCTCTCCTATTGCAAACTGGTATATTTGGAGCAACTTTTTAAAATTTGTTAAGAATCCAAAATTGGACTGAATCAGTTCAAACTTTCTATGCAACATAAGTAGTTAAGTACATGTATAATTATGTACCAGGAAAAATATTTTGCCGAAAAACCTGTACTATTATAGTACAGGGACTTTAGCCCGGTTTTTGAGCAACTTAAAAATTTTTTAAAAATCAAAATTTGATCAGTATCAGGTCAAACTTTCTACACAACATAATTACATGTGTTTAGTAATAATTATTTTGTTAAATGATATTAATTTTTTAAGGATATTTCTTATATGGCCTGCATTGAAGTTGAAGGCAGTACTAGATCAATGATGGTTGAGAAACTGAGCTGTGCTTTTAGCAAGGACAGTGGTAAGAGAGAGAGAGAGAGAGAGAAGCGGAGAAATAATTCTTCTTTACTGAGCCTAAATTGTTTTACAAATTTTAAAAAGATCCAGCTCTATGCATGCTTGCTAAGGTTTTTAGGAAATAGAGCTTTGTGTGTAACTTTGATACAAGTTAGTGTATCTGTTATTCTTCTCTCTAGATTTCCATTCTCTTGATGTTATCAATGGCCTCAAAGAAGGTGTGACAATTATGTATCATCCTTTCACGTATCCTCATTGTTCGGTGGGTCAGGTTCTACTGCTATGGCAGCCAAACACTTTGGACAACTCTTGTAAACTATGGGTCTGGTGCCTACCAGCAATAGTGAACGAAATAAAAGAGATAATTGGCGAAATAAATAATCAGGAAAACGACAAAGAGAGAAATATTTTAAGTTTTAAAGTTGTCCCTGACCTTTTACGATTTCGATTAGTCGGCCCTCATTCTCACCTCGTTATCACCTCAATACTGTCGGCTCCGCCCGTTAAAGAATTATCAACTCAGTCAGCCCCAGATACAAGCACACCCCAAGCAGCGGCTGCTGATAGCGAAGGATTAGTATATTTACGATCTTTACCAAAATGGGCCGAGTTTTCTCAAACGAGTCAGTCCCGGGGCTGGTGGGTTGAGAGGGTGACCCTAGAAGATGCTCATAGATTAAATGAATTATACAATGTTAATACAGAGTCTTGTGACATGTTTCCAAATGGTTCTGTACTCTCTCTCTTCTCCTCTGATCCTCGTCTTACCCTACCTGTTAAGAGAGGATCAACCGGTTGTCCTCCTGCACAGGAAGGGAGTGAGAATAAGAAGGACTTGGAGGCATTGTTGAAGGATCTGGAGTCGGAGTTGGTAAAGATAAAAGAGAGAGGAGAGAGGGAGGGAGAGGAGATCGAGGAAGATGTACATGTACATGTAGAACAAACTGATTCTCTTGAAATTGATTTGGTCTCTTCCTGGCCACATCCATCATTGACCACACCCACTCAATTTCCGTTCATTTGGGACGAAAGTGTGAGAAGTGATTCATCATTATCACAGCTACCTGATCATATCATCAACGAAGTTAGAGGAAAATATTTTCTAAAGCCAGAGAGTATTAACTTAGGACATGAAACCAGCGTCCTACCTTTAATGTTAATTAAAAGACAATATCCTGATACACTCTGCCTACCTGATTCAATTCACGCCCACACACTTGATTACCATTCCCATCCGCACAAACAGCTTATTAGTGGGTGGGATGTTATATTGCCGTCTCGTTGGGGCATGTCCTTTTGGATATCGTTAATCTATCGCGGGGCCCGCCCCCTCGGGTTTAACGAGCTTAACACTTGTTGTCACCTTGAGAATCTCTCTCCTTTGTTCCCACGGGATTACCCGGATACGGTTGCCGGGCGGGATGAAGAGATCCAGACCCTTTCTGAATGCTCGTCCCAATATGGACGCTATCCTCCGGATAAGAGACCAAACTTTGGAAAGTTGAGGATTGCCAGTCCATTTCTTCCTCAGTGGAAGGAACTAATGGACTCTATTTCTAGTAGTGACTCAAATGAGTTCAATCAACCGGAAAAGAAAATAAAATTGGAAGTAGAGATGAAGGAAGAAAATGTAAAGGAAGTAGAGAGACATGATGATGGGGTCATGATCTCTACTGATAAATGTATTTCTTTTCATGTTGTAAGACAGTCTTCCTTGATAGATATCTTGGAAGGTTTCAGATCAGAATTAATCAGTAGTGAGGCTCTTTCTTTAAACTTTACTGATATTCTTTCACGGCATGGTATCAATCGGTTGCTTAGTGATAACCCTCGTTGCTTAGTAACGGTTCTTTGTGAAGTTGCTTCTCATGGAAAAATCCCGCCTCAGTCTCTCATTTCTCTCCCGACTTTCTCCGATATTTCTTCTCACCTCTCGGCCGATGGGCGAGGGTTTCTGGGACCGTGTGAGCCTCTAGCCCCAAGGGGCCTGACGTTTTTTGAAGGAGGCGTGATTTATAGCGGAGTATACTCGATGAACCGTAAGGAGATGAAGGATTTGAATAAAAAGAGGAAGAAGGCACTTCAGAGGAAGAACAGGTTGAGAGGAGAGGGTGAGTGTGAGCTCACACAAGAGGAGAAAGGTAAGTACATACATACATGCTCTTATGTTGTATAGAAAGTTTGATCAAAGTTGGATTTTTAAAAAGAATTTTAAAGTTGCTCCAAAATTTGTAACATACAATGTACATGTGTGTATAAATCTTTTTTTTACATTTTTAGATCTCATCCAAACTCCTGATATTGTATTTAGATTGACTCCGCCCACTACCTCTAGACAGACGATAGGTTATATTGGACAGACTGTTGGTTACAGTCACACTTACTCTCGCTGTGTGGGCGTCGGTCATCTCTCACTTCACTGGTGGGTGGAGTTGTGTCGGTTGGCTCATCAGGCAAAAGCTGGGAGTGTGGTTGCTCTTGTACGAGGTCATTCTACTCAGTATTACATGGTGCATGTTAACTTGTATTTATGGAGGAATTAATATTCTATTAATAATGTAACTAAACTAAACATATTAATGAAAAATGATATAATGTAATTAATAATAGAAATGTTATTAAACCTAGCTAAAAAGAAAAATGCTATAATTATTTTGTTTGATTAAAAATGAAAGTTTTTCTAATAGCTATTTAAAAATAAGGAAGCATTATGAAATCTATTCTCGTTACTTATTCCTTTTCTCCTGAACCATGTCCACTGTCAAGACTCGCAGTAAATGAACCAGTGGGACTGGCCTCGTTATTACCAGCAGCAATCTTTTTATCAGGAACCTGATCAGAATCACACTTTAGCAATGAATCTGGACTGATGGTTTGAGTGTGAAACTTGAGGTAGCTTTTATACAAGACTCTCAATTCGTCATAGCTTTTACCTTCCACTTCCTTTTCGTCCAATTCAAGTTTGTCATGGCTATCATTCGGGACAAGATAGCAGTTGTATGTTTTTTGATCTGCCTTCTTGTAAGTAAAGAAAAGAGCAGTATTGTTGAAACTTTTAGAGGAGTTATCCTGATACACTGTGATGTAGCGATGTATGCCGCTGAAAGACTTTTCTCTCTCTGCTTCATGCTATAAATAAAATGTGCATAATTACAGCTCCAAACTGCAACCTTTCCTTACCTCTTCAAGTGGGACTAGCTCAATCCTATCCTCTTTAATTACAAGGCACACACAGTACTGGCTACCATTCACCATCATATATTCATTTTTATCTGTATTTTTTGCCTTTAGATAAAACTCACCTATTATATATAAGTCATTTTATTTTATTACGATATTGGTCTATTAAGACTATTACCGGTATAAAGTATTGCTTACCATCACTGTCTGGGCTGTAAGGTGTTGCAATAGTAACTTTCTTTTTTGTTTCAATTAGGATTTTGTCATCACTAGAAGTGAACTCCTGCATGGTGTGTGTATGTGTGTGTGTGGACAAGTATACATTAGCTTTTCATAACAGTAATTATAGTATCGGCCTGTTTTTGTTTCAATTCAATAGTATAATAATATAACAAACAATATTAGACCTTTGCGGCCTATGTTGAATCTATTGTTGAATCAACAAAGACACTATTAATCTTCTTGATAAAGGAAGCATTATCTACTTAGACCTTAGAGGCTCTAATTCTCATAGAACTACTTGTTCTTATTTCATGTGCATGGGTAGCCTATGGTATAATGGGACCTAATAAAAGTAGGAGTAGGAGTTTGCTAGATAAAAGCACCATAGGAGTGGGAGTTAGCAGTAAGCGTGGGTGTATAACTGATAACTAAACTCTTACTATTGCTTTGTTTCCTGTTGCTGTACATGCCATGCTACACTGGACTTTCATCCTTCCTGGACTGTCTCCTTTTGGTATGGATCTTATTACTATTTTTTTCTTTGCTGCTGTTATTGTGCCACCTTCCACAACTTTTATCCTTGATTGGCTACCTCCATCTTGTACCATAGGCTCTTCAGATCTATAGATGTCCATGTGTGTATATGAGAGAAAGAAAAGAGGGTAAAGAGTATCATATTAGTACAATCATAATATTCATAAGGCAAAAGAATTTAGCACTATACAGCTCTCACACATTGCTACATGCAGTTACAGTATGTGAAAGAATAGGAGGTGATATTCATTGGGAGCAGAGAGGGGAATCCTTACAACTTTTTCTGCACAAGCTGTGAAGCCATCAGGGAATCAAGCATATAATGAATAGATACTGAAAATCACACTCTTTTGAAAAGGTTAAGATTGCAAACAAAACTTATAGCTGAGCTAAAGCTAGTCAGGCGTGGCCTTTAGTTTAAAGCTGCACTGAGCCTATGCAGAATAGTCATGGCTGTATGCAGCATCATTCAGTGATGAAACTCTAGACTAGATAATCTGGCTTACTGTAGATAGGAACCTAGGCTTACTCTTTCACAAATAATAAGAATCCATGAAATATTTCTTGACTTTGAGTGCTGATCTCCATCGGCTGTCCCTGCATATGATCTGTTGACTTGGCTCTGCTAGACAAAGTGACTTCGACAAACAAAGTGTCTCCGTTTTGTTTTGCCTCATTAATTATTCATAGCCAATTAAGGATAATACAGTACAGTGCTATTATTAAATCAAAAAGAGCTAATAGAAATGTTAATGTATAATAACTAATAAGATAAAAAGCAGAAGATATAAATGTTTGAAAAGTGAAAACTATCTTTCATTTCTTGTCTCCTGAGCTGCACTGAACACTGTGATCACTAAGTGAACTGGTAAGGCTGGCTCCATTATTACCAGTAGCAATATTTTTATCAGGCTCTGAATTGGGAACTCTTTCTTCATCACTAGTACTTTCAAGACTTTTTGGACTGGTGCTGAACTTGAGGTATTTTTCATCCAAGACTCTCAATTCATCATAGTTCTTACCGTCCACATCAATTTCAAGCAAATCGATCTTGCTTGAGTCATCATTCGGAACAAGATAGCAGTTGTACATTTTTTGATTTGCCTTCTTGTAAGCAAAGAAAAGAGCAATGTTGTTGGGACTTGAAAAGGAATCATCCTGGTACACTGTGATGTAGCGATGTATGCAAGACTTTTCTCTCTCTGCTTCATCCTATGATAAATTTAATAGTCAAATTCTCTCTTCACTCGTAGTACAGCTCGAAATTTCCTTACCACAGTGAGAGAGACTAGCTCATTTCCACCATCTTTTACTTTAAGACACATACAGCGCTGACTCTCATTTACCATCAAATACTGATCGCTTTCAGTGTTTTTTGGCCTTAGATGAAACTCGCCTATTTGCAGGAGAGAAATATTCCATGGATCATTTAATTTTAAATTATACTTACTATCATCGTCAAGGCCATATGGCACTGCAACAATAACTTCATGATCTGTTGCTTCTACGATTTTCTCACCAGAGTAGAATTCCTGTTGTGTGCATGTAAGTGTGTGATGTAATAGTTGGATATAATATTGGCTATTAGCAGCTCAGATCATTGAAGCATACAGACTATATAGCTAACAAAATTAATGCTACTAGACCTCTGCCCTTTGGATATGTTTTCACAGCACTGTGATGAAGCAGCAATTATAGAAAGGACAGAATCCTTAGACCTTAAGGCCACCATACAAAGGGCAACATTGTTGCTTGAAACTTTGTGGTTACTTCGATCTTTGTTGCTTCAAGTTGACCACTGCTCAACTTGAAGCAACAAGATCAAAGTAACCACAAAGTTTCAAGCAACAATGTTGCACCGTGTATGGGGGCCTTAAGGCTTTTTCTATCTATATAAGTACTTTATATGTACACACATCTCTCTTACTATTGGTTTGCTTCCTTTGTCACTTTGGACTTCTATCCTTCCAGGATTGTCTCCGTTTGGTATGGATTTTATAACAATATTCTTTTTTGTCTCTCTCATTGTGCTTCCATCACTCAACTGATGGATGGTGCCTTTTGCTCTTGAGAAGCAACCACCGTCTCCCTCTACAATGTCTTGAGAACTGTGCAGTGAGTGTGAGAGGGCATAGAGTATCATATATCAGTACAATCGTATTCATAAGACAAAAGAATTTACAACTTTGAGTTAGTGCATGCTTACATTATGTGAAAGAATAGGAGGTAATATTCACTATGGGGATCTTGGGAGTAAAGGGGGAATCCTACACACAAAGCTGTCAATAATGGTGCCCGTTGGTTTGCTATCAGTGGCTTGCTATTATAGCAAAAGTACATGCAAAAATTGCATCCTAGTTTATAAAAGGATTCTAATGGCCCAGTAGTTGATAATGCTTAAGCTCCACTTTGTACCAGCAGGTGCCAAAGGCAAAGGAGGATATTGAAACCTTACCCTTTCTCATGTAATATCAGCCCATGAAATACATCTACTGGTACTTCTTGACTTGGATCTTCTTTGAATTTCCTCAACTGTCGCTGCATATCATCCATTGATGGCCGCTCTTGCTTAGACATAGCCATGATAACTGCTTCTCACTCTGCTTAGCTTCTCGCGTTTGTTTGTTTGTCTCATAATGTAAAACACTATTCATAGCCAAAAATGATTATTTAATAATAGTTATCTCATTATTAAAAAATTTAAAAAGGAATGTATTACAGCTACACCCAAAAATACAGTACACTAAAATCTAATGCTATAATGTAAGGGGTAGTAATGGGGAAAGTATGAAGGAGAATAGAGGGGTTGCTAGTCTTGCATTGCCAGGGCCAGGAGAGTCGGATCTGGCTTTGCAAGACTATGTACGTGTGCAAAAAATTCGTCAAGTATAATGTTCTTTTAAGATTGTTCCAAACTACTAGTCTCACTCTCGTCTCCACCGCCCACACCCTCTCCACTCCCGCCATTGCAATCTTTTAGGGATGATCCAGAATCAATGCTTCCACCAGAGACTGAGCTCTCGCCATTGCTATCTTTGACAGATAATCCTTGCCCAGAATCGCTGCTTCCACCAGAGGCTGAACTCTCTAAGGAATGAGTAAGAGTGCCTCCTCCATTCCTAGCCTCTGGGTCGTTGGTGGAAAGTATATGATGATGCTTGATAGGCTCAGCATCATCAGTAGAGTCGATAGAAGTCTCGGGATTCGTAGTAAAGTTCACATATTGACTATGAATCACTCTCTGTTGATCTTGATTCTTGTTAGTCACGTCAACTATTTTGAGGCAGACTTTGCAGGAGGCTTTAGCGTCTGATGCTTGAGGTATAAGGTAGCAATTGTATTGTTTCTTTCCTTCTCCATACGAAAAGAATATGGCAATGTCGTGGTCAGCAGAACCATACTGGAACACAGTCAAGTATTGGATGACATTGGTCTCTCTCTTTATGTCGGTCTATTAGAACAAAATGTATGAGAATAACTCCTCTCATTCTCTCTCAATTTCTCCTTACCTCACTAAGAGAGACTAGTTCTGGCCGGTTGTCTTTAAGGACCAAGCAGATACAATGATTTTTTTCATTTTTCATCTGGTACGAATTAGTTTCTGTGCTTATTGCCTTTAGATTGAATTTACCTATGCAGCATATATTATTATTATTATTATTATTATCATAATACTAATAACATGTATTTTCTACCTACCTTCTCCTGGATCTTTGTCATATACTACAGCAGTAACCACATCTCCATTGTCAGTCGCTTCAAGAATTCTTTTGTCAGCATAAAACTCCTATATTAAATTAATGGACATCATAATACAAACAATCTAATCATCACAAGTTTATTTCACTTCATTATAAATTCATTTCACTTTATCAGCTTTCAATATTGTTTCTCAAAAACACTGCCACTACTAAATTTGCATTTACACTCACCACTGTATTGCTTCCAGATTCGTCGTAAAATATATAGCGTCCTGGAGTTTTTTCTGTTGGAGTTGAAATCAATTTAATCTGCCTCCTCTCCTCCCGAAAACTAGGACGAACAGAATCTCTAATCTTTGACAAGCCACCACCATCCCTCTCCACGTCTGAATCTGCTCTAAAGGGGCGAACAGGTCTAGAAGGAAAAAGAGGAAGTACATTACCATTATCATTTACCAAAATTGGCACCATATGTCTATTAGGGGGGGAAGCCAAGGGAAATCCCCCGCCTAAACAGTTTAGCTAAGATGTATTGCGCACTATGGTATATTATCATAACTGAGGGAAAGCATAGTAATGATAGTATTAAAATTACATTAAGAGGTGTTAATCTGTTCTAATGAAGCAAGAACAGACTGAGGTAAATAAAGTACTTGCAGTAAATAATTACTCACAGTAGAAGACTTACTCTTTTTCGATTATAAAGCCAAGAAACATTCCTTCTTGTGTGAGGCGAGGTGGAGCAGAGAGGGGAGGAATCAGTGAATCTGGAGGGGTCTTTGTACGGACAGGAATATCTTGTAGCTGCCGCTTCATTTCTTCTAAAGTAGGCTGAGGCTTTTGCATTATGACTCTATCTTCTTATTAAGTTCTAGAGGCTCACTGGCTCAGGCACGATCATGCAGCAAATTTATAGGCTCTCCCCAACTCTACACACAAACACATGACATGAATAATAATTATTAATTAATACAGTCCATTAATTATAATTTATAAATCTATTTTAACCCTCATCATGGCGGCATCTCAGCTCTGCTCCAAGCTTTTTCAAAAGAGTTGTGCTATATCTGAAGCGACCAGCAAGCAATCAGCAACAGTAAGCAAGGTCTAGCATCATTGGTTATGCCATTATTTTCACAGATACTATTTCTACATGGGCTTGGAGACACAGGGTTTGTTAAAAACATAAATCAAAAATGTGTATTATTTTCAGAGCTAAGTAATTAATATATGTACTACCCCGCCCATCTTTAATTACAAGAATAATTTATAATTATTTATTGGATGTCCAATCGTCCAGCGGCGTGATGTACATGTAACCCATAAAGAGGCAATTGGGGGTTACCCTTCCCTCTTCTACCTTTAATGTGTTATTATGGTCAGTTAATGTGTCTGTATGAGGTTTGATAAACCTGCTGTACCCGTGCCATAACTTCCGCGTCTGATCTTGTGGTTTTATGTGTCACAACATGCCGAGGAACTTGAAACGATCTTTAATAATAACTATGATTATTGCGGTATGCGGTAACAACTTCTAAATTAAACCTTTCTGTTTACTTGGACTCGTAAACCATTCCAATGTCCAATTTGAGCGAGCCAATAATTGGATCTGCAGAATGACGATAAATACTGAAATCTGTTCTTATTCATCTCTGCATGTACATCAAGTTTTATGGCATAGCCAGTGCACTTTAAGCAGGCATTGTTGATAATGGAAGTGCCGATCAAAATGAAGATTTCTTTTTGTGTTATGGCCTAACCTTGTAAGAGTCACCTGTGTTAGAAGGCTTGTCATTTCACGTCAAGTGTTTCTTAGTCTGGCTGTAGCTTTGAGCCAATACCAAATTAGAACTTGTGTTAAAAATGTGTTTCACAAAGACCAACACATCAAAGCGTGACGCCATCATGTGACTCATTACATCATGAAAGTTCTTTCTGAAACATGATCTTAAGTTTCTTGGTGTCACGTTACATAGCACTATAAGCTAAACTTTAAACTTAAATGACCTTTTATAGTAAAATAGATTTTTGTTTTCACGATGTGGTTTATGCTTAATTAATTACACTACTTCCTTACTATATGATTTCCTTCTCTCCCCTTCTCTTTTTCACACGAACTTTCTTTCTTTGAACTGTTTCTTTCACCCCTGTCTCTGTCTCTCTCTCTATTTCTCCCCCTCTCTCTCTCTGTCTCTCTCTTCTTTCATTCATATAGTCATGGCTGGTGTCAGCTAATAGGTGAAATCAAGCAACCATACATGTCCTTGATCTGCCCTACAGCGTAAGTCGAATTAACACACTACCCATTCTTTATTGAACTGCATACTTCATACTAGTCCAGTCATGCCTGTCACCTTGAACAGTGGAATGAGGATGCCAAGCTGGTAAGACCTGTCATCTCAATGTATGTATGATCAATATTAGAAGGCTGATGGATTCAAACACAGACCCATTAGCTTAAGAAAGGCTTTGTGTTATCATTATGATTCTCCCTATTGTTATTTCAAGTGGTGTCCATTGACAGATGAGTAAACTCTATCATCATTATTATAAACAGTTTAATCCATACTCTAATTGGTGTGTAGGTGTACACACATGCACATGACATTCTGTCGTACGTGTACATGTACGTGTACGTGTACATGTACATGTACATCTGGCATTGATTGGTTTGAGCGTCATACTGAAACCAAAAACTTTTCGTAGCTTGTTTTTTATTCACACTTGAATCCTTAGCGTAAACACTGAAAGAAAAACAAGACAGATTCTTTTATAAACAAGTTGCATATACTCTCTATTAAGACTACAAGCTCTTCTAATGGCTGTATATTATTATGTAACGAACTAATGATATCTTTTCTTTGAACAGCATGTTCAGTTATTGTATACATGTTCTTGTATATTTTTATGCAATTTTAGTGTCCTATATACTGTACATACACTGTAAATTCAAAGTGATTGTCATAATTTATTATTATTATTATTATTATTATTATTATTATTATTATTATTATTATTATTATTATATCAAAATGTGCTATATTTGTTTATGCATTCTTTGCCTCATTATTTCTGTATAAGGATTTTATGTCAATTTCTGTTGTTGTAAATATTTCTCTCTCCTTCTCAGGTTTGATTTGTACAGTCTGGATAAGGAGGGACGGCAAGACGAAGAAGGCATAAGAGCAGCTGCTAAAAATGGTGAAAGAGAGAGAGAGAGAGAGGGAAGGGAGAAAGAGAGAGAGAGAAGTACATGTATGTGAGGGAAGTGTTGTGTGGCATAATATGTATAATATTGATTCATATTTAGTGATTTATTGTTGATTTTTGTCTTGTCAAAGATATACCAAATCAAAGATCTTGTTTGCATATCTCACTCATTCTGTTCCATTAGTTCATGATGCTATTGAAGAGATTGAGAAAGGAGGCACACCCACCAACAGGATACTGTTAGGTAAATGAAAGGACTGGAGAATCATTATTGATTGTTATAGTATTTTAATGTGTTTGTTCCAAGTATTATTAATTAAATAATGAATTAAACATTTCTTAGCATGATCCTACACAAACTTGATTAATGCATCAAAGCCTTTGCCTGTCAAGTTTGCTGTCAGCCTGTCTGTCTCTCTATCTTTAGTAGTCTCTTTGTCTCTGTCTGCATTGCTCTATCTTTAGTAGTCTCTTTGTCTCTGTCTGCATTGTTCTATCTTTAGTAGTCTCTTTGTCTCTGTCTGCATTGTGTATCAATCATATACATACAGTGTAGCAGTCAAGAAATATTATTTCTTGTAGTAGTGCATACATACATGTGTACATGTACATCTACATATCCTGCAAGCCTCTTGCACACAGTGCCAGCTACTAGCTAATATGTCATTGTTGTCCAACACACACTCTATTTTTGCTAATTGTTACTTTCATTCTCCATTCTCCTTCCTCTGATACTTCCTCAAGGTGGGTTTTCTCAAGGAGGTTCGCTGGCTGCTTTTGCTGGACTCACCTACCCTAAACCTTTAGCTGGTCTTCTCTTACTAAGCTGCTGGGTACCACTTCATGACTCACTGATGAATGTAAGGGAGGGACATCAAATCATGGAATTATACACAAATTAACTATCATGCTTGCATCTCTACAATTCCATGCAGTTTAAATGAGTCTCGTAGCAGCTGTTTCTGACCATTTATTTTCCAGCATCTTTTGTTTGTATATACATGTACATATACATGTGTTATTGATACATGTACATGTAATGAGATTGTTTTGTGTTTAACAGCTCATAGAGGAAAACAGCTCATAGAGGAATTAGATATTAGAGAGGCTATACATAAACATTATATAGAAGCCACAAATATTTGTGTTGGGTGATTTATTATTAAGTATTAATTGTATCAAAGCAAGTAAACTATAATTGTTGTCATTCTTCGTTTTATAGGAGTCAAATGATGTCAATAAAGTCATACCCATTCTGCAGTGTCATGGTAAGTGGAAAATGGTATTTTAGTCATATATGGGCAATGGTGAGCTGTGGTGCCACTTTTGTCAGCATTACCATGTGGTGTGACGCGTGTTTACATGTAGATCCAGTCATGCACATTGTGTACATCCAGCTCAGCAGCTTGTAGCATGTGCTGTGTTAGCATGCTTTAATGAGCTACAATCATGAATGTGATCATGCATTGCTATTTATGATAATGATGTCATCAATTGGGCTAGTTCCAACTTCCCACTATGAATATTATACTAATATGGTGTCATATTTACTGCTAATGAAGACTGTAGCACTCTATGCACACACACACACACACATGCACATTTTGTCTTCTGCTTTTTATGTGTTCTCTCTCTCTCTTCATCTTCCCTTATACTCTTCTCTCCATTAGGTGATTCTGATATGATGGTTAAATATTTGTATGGTCAGAAATCAGCCGAACTACTAAGTTCACTTAATCCTAGCAACCACACCTTTAAAACTTACAATGGATTGGGGCATAGTTCTGATCCCAGAGTAAGTCTACAATTGAGAATGAATTTGAAAATAATAGAAAATAATAATGGGGAGGGGGGAATTAAGAATTTCCAGAAAGACTAATAGGAAAATTAATGAGCATAATAGACTCAGCCTTAATAATTGTAATACATGTATAATGTGTACGTTGTTTTTAAAATGACGCAAAATAGACCTAGGCAGATTAGAGTGGGTCTCGCTCATGCTCGCCACAATTAGAGAAAATGTGTCATCTACAGGCTTGGGGCGAGTACTTTGGTACTCGTACTTAAGCATGCTTAAGCACAAGTTTGAAAGTATTTGGTATTTACTCAAGTACTTTTGAACAAAAATTACAAATACTCGTACTGTACTTAAATACTAGTATGTTTTTAGTGCTTACAAGTACTTTGAAGTACATTTTTTGATGCAATGCTAATGTGTTGAAATAATAAATACTAGCTAGTGTAAACCACATATATTTACCTCCTGTGGGTCCCATACTATGACACTGGCCAGTTTGGATTTGAAAAGTTCATAAGATGTAATAACCATCTGATTTAATTTATTAATTTTAAAATTAGCTTATTAATTATTTGGGTGTGGTCAAGTGCTTAAGTAGTACTTAAGTACTGCAATAGAGTACTCGTACTCATACTGAATACAATTGTAAAAATGAGGGATTTGTACTCGTACTCATTTTAAAAATCTAACAGGTACTTGTAATGTACTTAAATACTTTTTAAAGTACTTCGCCCCAAGCCTGGACTCATCTATTATTTACTTTATTATTTTATTTATTCAATTTATTTGTAGGAGATGAGAGATATTGAGGTGTGGCTTGGTAAGCTCCTCCCACCTGTGGGTGGTGCCATGTAGAAATTTGAGAACACTAGTTGCTAAATTTAATTTCTTTATTATAATAATTAACTATAATAACTATAATAATACAATGTTTTTGCTTTAAAAAATCATTTGAATAGTAGCAAAAAAATTAATATCTAACAACAGCAAAAGAATAATCAATATAATAATAAATGTAAATTAAATATGCTAACAAAAATATTTTATAAAGTGCTATTTGGGTCAATTTTTTCAATCATCACTTTCACCATTCTACTGATGTCATAATCTGGTTTCCAGCCCCAATCTGACCTTGCTCTTATGTCATCTAAAACTTGTGGCCAGGATTCGGCTAAAAATAAATCAATTATAATAAATACACGTACAATTATAAATATTTACGGACAATATTTATATTGCTGTAATCATAGTATGTACATACAAAGTACAAGTACATGTACATGTAATTTGAGAGTGTTGCCTCAGGCTATTACATAGTGAAAAAACATCTGCTCAATGATGCTAAAAGAGTTCATATACTTTCACATTAAAATAAACATAAAGGTCACATAATGTGTGTCTCTATTGATCCATTTTGTCAACTTTATGATAAGACAAAATAATCCCAATGAATAAACACTGCAGCAAGTAAAGTGTACATGTACTAGATAATTTTGAAGAGGTACATATAACTCTTGGCAAATTGTTAGATTTTTGATGATTGATACATACATGTACATTGTACATGTACATGTACTATAAGGTTTTAATCTGATAAACTTGTGGCCATAGTGGGTGTAGCTATCAAAAAGTCAAGATTTCCCCATTCAAAAGTACCAGTATACAGTGAAGTTATACCGTATAGCTCCAAATTTTCGTTGGTAAAAATTTTTGTTAAATTTGTCAGGTATAAAAGTCCAACGAAATTCATAGCAGATGAAATTTTTATTCTACGTGAGCAGTATGTTTACTAATAATAAAAATGATAAAAATTTTGATTGATGAAAATTAATTTTGACAAGAAATCAAGATTTTGACGAAAATTTTGATTGACGAAAATTTGAAACTATACGGTAGTACCCTCTCTCCTAATAACTAACCAATTGATTGCTTCCTCTCGTCAGGTTCATAATCAACCCTCATCTTTGGATAATATCTTTTCATTTCTTCCACGAGTTCCTCTGGACTGAAACTCATTGCCGTCACGTTATAAGTTCTCTGAGTGAGAGCCTCAGAGGGAAACTCCATGAACTCAACAGCTGCTCTCAGACAGTCATCAATGTAGATCATTGGTAGGCGTGTGTCCTTCTTGAGGAAGCAGGAATAGTGACCGGTCTTAGCAACACTGTGAAAGATGTGAACAGCGTAATCTGCAGAATATAAAATTTTAGTATTATTATTATTAATATACGTGTAGTACCAAAATATTTTATTTATGATTATTAGGTAGGGTGTTGCTCAACAAACATTTGAATTTTACATTTTCTAATACACATCGATGTCCTAATGCTATGTAGAAAGTTTGAGCTGATTCTGGCCAATAATTTTTGAGTTGTAAGCATTTAAAAAAAAAATCAAATTTTGAAAAAATTCCCTGTACTATAGCCCATGGTTTTTTCTGAAAAATGGCTCCGAAATCACCCCCCATTTTTATTACATTTTCTGATACATATTGATATCCTTATCCTGTGTAGTTTTGTTTGAGCTGATTCCAACTTCAATTTTTTAAGTTACGGCCATTTTAAGAAAACATCAAAATTCTGAAAAATACCCAAGGCTATAGCCCATGGTTTTTTCTGAAAAATGGCTCCGAAATCACCCCCCATTTTTATTACATTTTCTGATACATATTGATATCCTTATCCTGTGTAGCAAGTTTGAGCTGATTCCGACTTCAATTTTTTAAGTTACGGCCATTTTAAGAAAACATCAAAATTCTGAAAAATACCCAAGGCTATAGCCCATGGTTTTTTCTGAAAAATGGCTCCGAAATCAACCTAAATTTTTATTACATTTTCTGATACATATTGATGTCCTTATGCTATGTAGAAAGTTTGAGCTGTTTCCGGCAAAAAAATTTTGAGTTATAAGCATTTTTTTTAAACTCAAATTTTGAAAAAAATCCCTGTACTATAGCCCATGGTTTTTTCTGAAAAATGGCTCCGAAATCACCCTAAATTTTTATTACATTTTCTGATACATATTGATGTCCTTATGCTGTGTAGCAAGTTTGAGCTGATTCCGACTTCAATTTTTTAAGTTACGGCCATTTTAAGAAAACGTCAAAATTCTGAAAAGTACCCAAGGCTATAGCCCATGGTTTTTTCTGAAAAATGGCTCCGAAATCAACCTAAATTTTTATTACATTATCTGATACATATTGATGTCCTTATGCTATGTAGAAAGTTTGAGCTGTTTCCGACAAAAAATTTCCGAGTTATAAGCATTTTAAAAAAAACTCAAATTTTGGAAAAATTCCCTGTACTATAAGCCCATGGTTTTTCCTGAAAAATGGCTCCAAAATCACCCTAAATTTTTATTACATTTTCTGATACATATTGATGTCCTTATGCTGTATAGCAAGTTTGAGCTGATTCCGACTTCAATTTTTTAAATTACAGCCATTTTAAGAAAACGTCAAAATTCTGAAAAATACCCAAGGCTATAGCCCATGGTTTTTTCTGAAAAATGGCTCCGAAATCACCCCAAATTTTTATTACATTTTCTGATACATATTGATGTCCTTATGCTATGTAGAAAGTTTGAGCTATTTCTGACAAAAAATTTTCGAGTTATAAGCATTTTTAAAAAACCACATTTTTTGAAGAAATAGCAGCCCATAGTTTTTCCAAAAATCAGCTCCAAATAATCCTCAATACAGTACATGGCCTTTTGGCCAAAATTCATCAAAACTAAAATTAAGTGAATTCTGCATTTTTATTACATTCTTCTGACACATATACATGTACATTAGATTTTTAATGAATTTTTTAAAGTTGTCGAAATTTTCCAGAGACCATAGGCTATAGTACTGTTGTACATGTACATGTACATTAAAGAGTTCTTTGTCCAGTACATTTAACAATAGACTGCTCCATTGCAAAAGGCACTATAGTATGTACCTGTAGTCCCTCCACCAGGCTCAGTGTCTGCCCCAATAACTCCCGGAAACCTTAGGGACCTGAAATCTAACCCGTGCTGACTGTAATACTACAGGAAGGAAATAAAGAATAATACACATGTAAATAAATCACCCATGGACAGTGTAAATACATGGACAGTGTAAATATAACATTGTAAATATAAGCTTCTATAAGGTACTACATGTATACATACATGTATCTCTCACCTCTCCCAGTAGCTCCATGTGGACTTTAGACACACCATAAACAGTTCTTGGTCTCATTATTGTTAGATCAGGACACAAGACTTTAGGCGAGTCGGGACCAAAGGCCCCTATGGTGCTAGGAGAAAAGAGCCTTAGCTTATGGAAACTACTACTACTCCACAATGTTGTGAAACCCATCAACATTAACCTGAGAGGAAGGAGAGAGAGAGAGAGAAGGAGGAAATGTTGGACTCAGTAAATAAAGGCCTCCATACATTACCCCATATGTTGCTAGCAACATGTTGCCTAGTGTATGGGGGCCTTTATAAGAGAAGTTAGCCACATGCTCAATGATACAGTATGTGTCATAAAAAACAGGTACAGTTTATGCTGTGTTGTGTATAGTAGTTTGAAGTATGCCTACTTTTATCAGCTAAAAATACAATTTGTTTTCATTTTTAAATACCAAAAATTCAACCGTGTGTACCTCCAATGCTTTTCTTGGGTTCAATTCCCCGACAGCTGATAAAAGAGCAGAAAAGTGCACGACCCAATCAATACCATAGTTGACAACAATTGAATTGAGATGCTTTATATCCAAGACGTCAGCATACAAATATGGACCTAAAAATATAAAATAAAACAACAACAACAACAATAATAATAAAGCAATAATAATAATAATTGTGGTATTGTGGGAAATGAATCAGTCAAGATTTTGTGGGATTTTATGATCCAATGTGATCATTATATTGAGTCTCTCTACTTCATGTAACATGCTACCCAGCCACAACAAAGGCTTACCACAAGTTGCAAGCAACAATGCTGCATAGTAGATGCCCACCTTTATGCTCAAGCTTTTGACAACAAACTCTGGAGCTAGTAACTAAAGGAATTACAACTGTAGGCTCCTTTCTCCAAAAAATGCCTCAATTTTACACATTGCATTTAGAAAGTTGGAGCATGCATTTGTATGCAGTCCTTTGCCAAAAATGGCTATGGCAAACGTTCAATAATTAGATTTTCTAATAAAGTTTGAGGTGTGGAAGACATATATCTGCACATAGCATTGAGGCATACTTATGTCTTCTGATGTAATTCAAATAAAGTTAACTTAATTGTTACTTTGTTGTCACATTACAATGTGTATACTATGGTATGCTAAAGGGTATCAATAGCAAGTACAATATGAGAGCTGCTATTGTCTCAGTTTACCTTGAGATAATATTTCTTGCGTTGGTTTCTTAATATCAGACAATATGACATTATCATTGCCATATTTATTCCTAATAATAGATGTGTGCAATAATTATCTTAACACTTGTAGATGCAATGATATTTCATTTTTAAAATGCAAGCAATGCACTGTTGCTATTTACTGCCCTATCTAAATAGACACGGGCTTATTAGCAGGTAACTTTATCGGTGCTATTACTAGACAGTCTAACCTCATTATTTTAGCCATTCCAGTTCCAAGCTGACCCATTCCTCCAGTAATCAACACTCTGCGATTATTATCAGCATCATTAGTACTAGCACTCCTCTGGCTGGCCTTGCCTACCAGACAGAGCCCTCTCCTGCTGAAGGAAAGAGGAGAAAAGAGACGAGAAAGAGACATTTTTGGCTTCGAGCTTCGTGCGTCGGGGCCACGCCCAAATTAATCTCATTCACACCTCTACCACGCCCAAATTTACACTACACGTGAGTGAATGAATCTGATTGGTTGAGCATTCTCTTAAGCTCCGCCCACACACCTGGGCTTTGTCGCATTTATAGCAAACAGCAGTAGACCAGAGAATAGAAAGAGTGAAGTGATGCAAACTTGTAGAATTACTGGATTAAAGAACAGAAGAATTTTAAAATTATACAGGAGCTGTTCGGAAGCATAAGCTGCTATTAGCAAAAGAGAGACGTCCCTGCATTCAAAGCTACAATGGAGGATGGCGGTGAGTTGTTCTTGTGGCTACTTGTCCCGTTCTTTGAAACACTTTTCTTTGTACAAAGAGAGAGATTTTAGCCTACAGGCTTTAAATAATTGCTAGCATCATGCATAATGATATCAATAATAACGCATGCATCTCTATTGCAACATTCAGTTTAATTTTTAAAATAATTATTTATATTGTAAACTGTACATGTACATGCATGTATGTGTACATGTACATGCATGTATATGTACATGTAAGTACAGACTCATATGCAATATATATACACATCCTCCTAGTATATAGTGGGTTAGTGTTTACATTCAGTTTGGGCTTCTCACTAGTAGTGACAGCTTACATGGTGTTTTGTGGTGGGAGACCAACCCTGAGAACTTATTCAACCATCATAGTACAGTCTAGTGTGATAGTGCATGATGTGGGTAATTATTATTATCATAGTGATTAGTGTGAATGGAACTATGAGCTATATGAGGGACTGAAGAAATGCGATTAATTTGCTGTTGTATTATCAAGGGAATGACAGTAGAATGTTGATCATTACAGTTGATTACTAGAAAATCTCATTGCTAGAGAGAGAGGGGGGAGGGGGGAGAGTGAGAGAAGGAGATGCATATCAAATTTAGCATTATGATAATGAATCTCATTTATTTAATTTTCAAGTGATGCACTGATGCTACTGACTGTTGAATGAATCTTATTATGACTTTGAATCTCATTAGAGCGTGTGTACTGTGTATGTATCATTTTTAATCTCATTCATGTCTGCATGCTTTATTGAGTATCAAATGTCTGGATTCACATTATCACCGTCTCTCTCTTTCCTCTCTTGTCTGTCTCTCTCCTTATCTCCTTTTCTTTCTATCTCCCTTCTTTTCTCCTCTCTCTCCCTTCTTTTCTCCTCTCTCTCCCTTCTTTTCTCCTCTCTCTCCCTTCTTTTCTCCTCTCTCTCCCTCTCTCTCTCCCTCCCTCTCTCTCTCTCCCTCTCCCTCTCTCCCATCTCTCCCTCCCCCTCTCTCCTTTTAACTTTCAGATGCTAGCGTAGCATCCACTCCATCTTCATCCTGTCAAAAGTGTCTACTCTTCTCTACAACGTGTCTCTCCGTACTTTACTGGATCCTTTCCCTCATATTCTACTCACTGGAGCTGCTGTTTGGCTCATGGTCCGCAGCACTATACTATCAAGATGGCCAATATGCTCAGTTTGGCGTTGTCGCAGCTGCTATTTTGATACCCACATTTGTCCTGGCACTTGTATCCCTTATATGGTATTATGATCAAGACAGACTATACAGGTTGCTAAGGGAGGCACACCCCGACGACCAGGAGCTAAAGATGTACAAGAGACTCATTGGGACCTCATCGATATTCTCTCACCTCATATGTATGGGCCAGCTGTACAGGTAGGAGGACTACGGTATCTTTATTATGTACAGTACATTATTAATGAAAGGGTGACCTTACAACTCATTAAGTGTGTGGGTGTGTGATCCTTTATAAGTATTGATACATATAGTATAATTCATGCATCCCTAGTACTAGGCTAAGTAGGCTTATTCTGCCATATTTGTACTGTGGGGATTGATGTATTATTAGCTTTATAAGGAGAGAGAGTGTAGGGTGTGAAGTGAAGGGAAAAAACAGAAAAGTGCTTTGCTTGTATATTGTAGTGTAGCAAATGACACTAGAACTAAGCCTTATCTACTCTATCTTATACTCAGTATTGATTATGAGTCATACAATGTACATGTATTGTATTTAGATTACTCCCGCTCATTCTATCTATGCACACGTAAGCACATTAGATAGTGTGTAGTCTCATTATACTCTGCCATTGGGAGAATGTGTATTGTGTAGTCCTATTTGTATATCATTTGCTTGACACATGTATAGCTCATGTCAACAACACTGTTGATTGAAAGTTGAAAATGCTCTGTATCACAGCACACTGTTATTATTGTACAGGAGATAGAGAGGAGAATAGAGGGGATACATAGAATAATAAAACAAGGAAATGTGAATTAGGAAAAGTGCAGACATTGCAAGAAGAGGGATAGATGAAGAGCAAGGGACAACAAGTGAATGGGACAAAAAGAAATAAAGATGGAGATTTGATAGTATTTGTTGTTAGTGGCTTGTGTGTACAAACAAAGCAAAGACACTTCTCAGTTAGTTTTCAGCAAATGTGATTATGTTTTTATCACGAAGTGCACCTTTAGCATATAATCTCTATAGCCTATGTGTTTGTAATGAGGATGTTCATTGCGTTTTGTTGTTGTAGTTTAATTTCTGTGTGTTTATTGGTTGCGGGCAGTTAATGATTGTTGACGTTTGTTTCTGAGAACATAGTTAGGTTGTACGTGGTTGTTATGAGTTTTGATGTGGTAATGGATGCTTCCTCTCTCTCTCTCTCTCTCTCTCTCTCTCTTCCTTTCTCTAGGTACGGTCAACTCATTTATCTACATATCACGAGGTCTAAAGTCTATGACGTCATTACGTTACAACGGGATTCCTCTCTCCTTCGTTTCCTACATGGTTTCCTCGTTTCCGCTCCTCTCCTCTCAGTCCAACTCTACACCATCCTAATGGCAATAATAGACTCAAACTTTACTCTTCAGTTAGTCCTATCTCCTCTACTAATTGTATTTGCTTCGGTCGTATCATCAGCTGTATCGTTATTATTAACTCTCCTGGTGTATATATTATCAGATAGACTTCATGCCGAGAGGAGAAGGGTCGTCATACCTGCCTACATTGTCACTTTCCTTTGGCATTTATTCGTCATTCCATCACGAATATTTGCCATGGTATTATTTGCAGTTGCCTACGGTCCGTACGTAGCCGTGGTCGTTGGGGTCCACTGGGGAGCGGCAATTATTTGGACGCTAGCCGAGAGGACAAATTTCTGCGGGGATCTTAGCACCACGCCCCCAAAGAAGCGTTACCTTCTAGAGCTCCCGTTTGTGGGTGTGGTCTCTTTTATATTTTTATTCATTTACTTTAACGTCCGTGACGGCTCCACAATGGTACGTATAATCGTTTATCACTTACTAACAGCAGTAGAGACCTTGCTCCTCTCAGCTCTCTTCTATGTCGCTTATCCAAACCTTTCGCTTTCCCCATGGGTTTTTGCTCTCTCCGTCAGTTCCTACGGACTGGGCGTGGCCTTCATGTTCCTTTATTATGCTGCCTGGCACCCGAGCAGGACGGAGGATTGCTTCCTTTGCATCGGTTGTCCAAAGTCATGCGAGTGTTGTCCTTGTTTCTCAGACAAAGGAGAGCTTCATCTTGGTAACGTGGACCTACCACTTGATGGTGAGAGGAGAAGGGATAACCCCAGAGATGAGGAGAGGAGCAGTGGAGGGGATATCGAGGGAGAGGAGAGACCAGTCACTGGTAGAAGGACACCAAATCAAAATGGCTTTTATCCCTCTACTCCTCACAGAGCTGGTTCTTCCTCTATGAATAATATCAACAGAAGTACCGGTGGTACGCCAACGCACGTTAGGCCATCGCTACAACTTAACAATCACTTCTCGTCGGCAGTCGAAATACCACGGAACACTTCCTTATATGGGGGCAGTGGGGGAGGAGAAGAAAACCCATACTCGCTGCCTTTTCATCACGTGGGCGTGCCCCACACTGGCGCTTTGTCTTTGGAGAATATCAAGAGAGTCTCTCCATACAGAGCTCCTTCACGAGGGAGCCTGAGAGAGGGAGAGGAGAAAAGATGGCCGGTCAAGACTAAGACAGAGAATTTACCGAGACGAATGTTACCACTTGTAACCAACGCCAGTGACCCACGGTCCACCCCATTACCTCGTCGTGGCTCCGACTCTCAACTACTACCAGGAGCATCTTTAAACAAGAGCAAGTACAGTAACTTTAACGGTAAGCAGAGACACTCAATGATAGTCCATCCTGACTTGCAGCTGTCTTCTAATATTAATCTACCATCTCCTATTGGGGAGGAGCCTGGGGCCCTTGATGGAGGTAGAAAGTGGTCATCACCTCTTCCTATCCTTCACGTTAGCTCTGCTGATAGTCCTGGGAGGGGGAGAGGAGAGAGGGGGAGAGGCAGGGGGAGGATTGCTAAAGAGAGGAGAGGGTCTGGCTCACTCCTTCCTTCTCCTTATTCCTCCTTTATGTATGTTACTCCACCAACCCCGACTGTCAATACTAGCATGGCTGCTTCTTCTTCCTCATTGAATCCATCTTATCCCGTTCGAAGCTCCTCACAGCTTGAGACTAGATTCTATTTAGAGCCCGGGGCGGGAATAGGAGTAAAGAGATATCGCCATCGGAGTTTAAGTCCAGATGTACATTCGTCCGAAGGTAGTGGGTGTGGCTACCCCGCCTATTCTAGATCAGCTAATGCCACTCCTAAGCAGAGTCCTTATTCGTCCTGTAGGAGTAGCAGTGGCTGTGCTCCAAGAAAGAGGCGCTCTGGTTCCAGCAATCCGCTTCATTCCGGGGACCCAATGGTAGAGTTTACTCAGCTTTATACGAGCGGAGCAAGCCCCACCCACATGAGGAGACCCTCTTCTCGCTCGTCTGCTAGAGTATCCACAACCTGTGACGAGTCTAGTGATTGTGGAGCAGGAAGGAGAGGAAGAACTTCGGCTTGTTCCTCTGGTGTTTTTAGCTCCGATAAAAGTGACACTGGGTTTTCTGTTCCTCCAACCGGTAGCGAGGTCAACGAGCCACGCCCAGTGTTAGGGGTGGAGTCTAATGATGGGTGTGGTCGGGGAGAAGAGAGAGGGAGAAAGGACAAAAGATGGCAGCCTTCTGTTAACTCTGATGTCGGAGTAATGGGAGGAGATACCCTTGTATGAAGTACACTATAATTATTATTATTTTGTTGTTGTTGTTATTTATGTTGTTGTGTTGTTGTTGTTGTTGTTGTATAATTATGTGACTCTTTATTGCATTCATTCAGTTCACTTGATTTGACATGTATCATAATGATTATTAATACTTAATTTTATATTTAATCTTTGGCTTATATAACTTGTGTATGAAGCAGATCACTGTTATTGTAATTGGAGCCAAAATCAGCTTTGATTTTACAGTTTAGTCTGAGTGCTTGTTTATACTTATTCAATGTGTTTACACTGATAGCTTTTGCTTTCAGTCTTCAATATTTGCGTAAGTAATATTCTGAAGCAACTTTAAAAATTTGTAACGAATCTAAATTTGATCGGAATCCGTTCAAATTTTCACAACAACGTAAGGACATATTATGTACGTACATGCATCAGAAAAAATTATTAAAATGGAAAAGTCACATATTTTGGTGGCAAAATTTGGCCTGAGACCATAGTACAAGGTCATTGACAAGATTTTGAACACCTCTGAAATATGAAAAAAAAATCCAATTTTGTTCAAAATCAGCTCAAAGTATATACAAAACATAAGTACATGTATACGCATCAAAAAAATTATAAAATGGAGAATTGTCTCCAAACCATTTTTGATGGAATACCTCCTATACCATTGCATTTAAAATACACCCTGCTTCTGATTATCTGTTCAATTTATTAAAATTAATTTTGAAATTCAAAAAAGGCAATATTATAACACAGACAAGCAAACAAATAAAATTATTAGTTCTCTCGTTTAAGAAAAAAAATTTCCCTTTAATGTATTTATTTGATTGAAGAGGGTTCGCTAGGTTATACTACATCAGATGAGGATGGGGTGGAACCCTGCGTTGTCAGTGATGCCCTGTCTTCACTCCTCCCTCCAGATCCTGCCGTCTTTATTCTTAAAGCACCAAATAAATTAAAAGTCTTCTTCCTTGATCCAGGCGATATTTTTTCACCCTAACAACATAATAAAAGCATAAATAGTACACAGTCGATATTTTTTATGTAAATCATGTACAGTTTTTCAATGCATTTGTATTAAATGTAATTGACACACACACTCTAGTTAAGCTTTTATAATTGCACAAAAGTTTCACACATTATCTGTCACCTTGACTGTTTTTATTGACGGCAGCTCACGATGAGTGGGCACATCAATCCTAAGTCCATTAACATGTTCACTACCTCCTTCCCCTCCTCCTATACCAATGTGCTTAGCTGAAGCAGAAAACTCTGGTATTTGTGACAATAGACGTGGTTGATTTTTAGCTGACGAACTCCTATATACAGATCTCCCTCTCTCCTGCTCTGTTCCGTCATTGTCGAGTCCCTCGGCGCTCATATCTGTTTTAGAACCAGGAGCCCCCACGACTTCCTTTTTCATAGCAAACAGCTCAGATTTGAGTTCCATGCTCTCCGATTTCATTCCATGAGCGCTTGGAGGTTCGAGCAAGAATTTCTGATTAGGGTCGGCCATCAGAGACTGTATGTCTGCAGGTCCATTTCGAGAGATGGACCTCTGACTGCCTGAAAATTGAGATTGGCTGGACCAACCAACAGGAGGGGCTTCATAACTCATTCGCCTTACGGGACCAATTTGACTATGTGAAAGTAAGGAGAAAAAGAATACACAATACTCCAATGAGTTAACAGGAGCTGATCAGTTAATAATTGTGTATTAATTGTGTCATTAATTGTATGCATAATCTGCATGTACATGTGTATAATAATATCAGTAGAGTGCACAATGTACTTCTCATTCTCACGTATATAACTGGTCAATGTAAGTCACTATCACTTTTACTTACTTTTTCCCTTTCCAAGAAGTAGCCCCTCCACCTCCTCCTTGCTCCAGGTGTGTGTCAACTGAGGCCGAGAGGGTTTTCCTCATTAAAGGTTTCAAGTTTCCGGCCGAGCGTCTCCTCGAGGAAGAAGTAGTGATGGTAGGAGCAAGACCCTTCCCAGTCCGTGGGCTGTTCTCTTGATGCATATTATCTGGAGTTAGGATTGTGGGTGGGGGACTTTCTGATGGCAGCTGCTCGTTAGATGAGGGGGCGTAGTTGTAGAGGCTCTTGTTTAGCATTGATTTTTGAAACGGGATTGGAAGTGGCTCGGGGGCAGACATTCTAGAGTGGGGTCTTGGAGGCGGTTCCAGTCCACCCATTCCCATGTAAAACTCATCGTGATGGTGGGAGGTGTGTCTTTTTGTGACCCCGCCCATATCGACGTGATGATGTGGACTTAGATCATTGTTTAGTCTCCTCCCACTGGCATGATGGGTGTGGTTTGAAAACAAAGATTGGTAGAAGGCGCTGTGGACATTACGTAATTGTCCGAGGGGTTTGTGATCGACTGTTAGATGCTTACGTCTGTCTGGTGCCTTGCTTAAAATATCATATTCGGCCTATTAAGATTAAATATGGAAAAACATGTTATTTCCTGTGTTAATTATTGCTTGTACATGTATTTCATTTGCCATTTTACTGGCAATAAGAATATAAATGTTGTATGTAACAAATGTTCAAGGACAAAATTGATTTTTTAAAAATAATTGCAATCAATCATTACCCTGCTATGAGCCTGTTGGTCATCATCTTTACTTCTGAGGTGCTTCATTGAGAAACTAGGCTTGTTTAATATACCTGTGGCATCATTGTGCTCTGCAAGAGTAGAAAAATAATTATTAGACTATGCATATATACATATTACGATAAATGCAGAGTATTATACATGAAGTTAAAATTTTTTAATAGTACCTTGACTATGCTGGCTATGGCCATATCCTTGTGATAGAGAGAGATGCTCTGCAATAGTTTGATGGTCAGAAGAGCTAACTAACTTATCAATTGGATCTGCTGTGATCATTCTAAAGAATAATAAATACATTAAAAAATAGAATTACTTTATCCTTTGTAGTACCATTGACTGCTTTGGTGTAGCATGCATAATTTTGAACTGACCTTTGGAGAACATTTCTTCCTTCTGGTTGATCCATAAGTAAGTTGTATATTGCTGCCAGCCAATCACACCGGTCCCTTTTAACTGTTTCCTTTATCTGACTTGGTGTCTCGCCTAAAACTTTCTGCATTAGTTCAATGACCTATACATGAGTGCATGCAACAAGTTAAAGATCAATATTAGAATGGAGAAAGGCTAAAGGAAAAGGTAGAATTGACTAAGCGACCACATAAGGGAAGAGGGAGTCATTAGCTAGGGAAGCAGCTAAGTCTTATTAATAAATATTATTTTAATTACACATTAACGGTATTAGCACTTCACTTAGCACCAAAATAACGACAAAACTCTATAATGAACTTGGAAATTAATGGCAATAAGTTGTCTTTACTAAAGTGCAAAGGATTTTGTTTAGAGTCATACCAGGTTTTGTGTGATAGGGTCTGGTGGAGTATATTCATAAGGAATGAGCTGGTGAGCTCCATCTTTTGTTGTCCATGGATGATGCATGACGTCATCAAGTGATGCTCTTCTGGAAGAGTTTGGTTGCAGTAAATGACATATTAGATTTACAGCACCTAAAATATAACGTGCAAGGTAACTTTTAGAACCATGTAAGTTTTTCATATTAGCAAAATTAATTTCTTATTGGTTATTCTTTCTTTTCTCTCTTTTTCTCTCTCACTCGTTGAAAGGTGCTCCATTTCTTTTTCATGGTGCTCAGTTATTCCTGCACTAATCTGCTCTAGTAATTTCTGTCGTTTCTTTGTTCCTTGTCTTGGAGATCGAAATGGCAGCTTACCAACCAGCATTGCATACATATTGACACCTCTAAAAAGAGCAAAAAGTATGCCATTATTTCACACTATTGTGCATTGTTATAAAAATGATTATGCTCAATGCATGAATTTCTAAAAGAATTAATGATTATGCTGTATGTATGCATGTGTGTCCATTTCTTCCTTACAAGCTCCATACATCCACTTCAGGCCCATAATGTCTACCAGGAATGAATAATTCTGGTGCTGCATATTCTGGACTGCCACAGTGTGTCTGCAACAATGCTCCTGCCTTCTGTGCATTGCTTAAACCAAAATCTACAACAAAAAAGATACACTTTCTTGAACTGTCTTCACTCCCTATTGCATAATTAGCTGTCTCTTTCACTCACAACAAAGCTCAGAGCACAAACAAATATTTGCACACAAAAACACTCTTCATGACACTTATTAACAGAGTTCCATTCATGGTAGTGGAGAATATAATGCTCCCATTTAGGCTCATTGCACATTTAGCACAATCAACAGGCAGGATAGACTCACCAACAATCTTTACATATCTCTTCTTTTTGTCAAGCAAAATGTTTTCCATTTTAAGGTCCCTAGTGTATAAAAAAATAAAAAAGATAATCCCCTTTCTAGTTAACTTTAATGCAACATCATATTACTATTAAGATTATTTCATATGTACTCTAGCCTATAGCACAAGTTAACTGAGTGAGGTCTATGACATTCATAACTCTACAGCATTCTCAGTTTATCATATTCATGGTCTTATGCCTTCCTTTACTGGCTTTTCCTCAAGGTTAATGAACTAGGCTGTCAGTATTCATTGATTTGGTGTAAAGTGATATGTTAGCATGATATGAACTGACTGCTGCAGGGCCACACACACTGAGGGACTAGTAGCACACACACATACACACTCAGTGTGTTCTAGGTCCTGTGCATGGAACATGATTTACACTCTTCCATAAATGACGTGCTGATTTTGTCTAAGTGAGAAATGTAACACCTAGCCACATCAACACACCATTAATAAAAATAATATACTTGTAATATTTATATATCGCAATAATTTTCACTGTTGGAGACTGATCGTTGTTATGTGAACAAAGGAAAAAAGAAAATGCCTCACCTATGCACAATCCCATTTCCATGCAAGTAATAAAGAGCTGATGTCAACTGTCTTATGAATGGCCTAGTGGTAGCTTCTGGTAGTCGCTTTTCTTTAAAATCGTTACGAACAAAAGAGAGTAGCTCTCCACCCTCAGCTACCTCAGTTACAAGGCAGTACAAGTTGTTGGTTTTCATAGTTTCGTACAGTCGGATAATATTGGGATGTCGCAAGCGTCTCATGAGCTGTGCTTCACGGAGTAGGTTCTTACGGACGTATTCCTCCTTTATCTTGTCCGTTTCAATTATCTTAATGGCAACCTGCAGCAAGAGGGAGGAGATAAATCTTAATTCATTTTCAGTGTGCATTATGAACACTAATAATCACTGTTTACACAAACTATGACATACAACAGTGTATGCTTGCTATAGTTTGCATGCATTGTATTGGGTATAAGTCACTGTAGTTCATAATTGGTTGCATGGTGTTTATACACATATAAGTGCATGCATGGGCAGTGATGCTGTCACAGTTGTATTTACATTCTTCAAATTGATCTGGCTATAGCTTATGTAAATAAAGGAGTTGTGAATAGAAACAGTCCCAGGCCATATACAATTATATGCAAGGCCATAGGAAATAAAATTGATGTACCTTAGCTCTTGTTAATGTATGCGCAGCAGCTTCAACTCTTGCAAAATTCCCTTTTCCCAGGGAATGGCCTATCAGTACGTATCTTCCAATGCATTTGACATGCTTTGAGCTCGAGCCACTGCTTTGGCTGGAGTGAGCTGATGCGGGTCTGTGACCAGCTGTTGCTCCTGTCGTTCTTTCCTCTGGTGGCCCGCCGGATTCCTCCCTAGTTGTTCCTTGATCATTAGAGCTCATATTTTTAGTTTCTGTTTCAACACAGACTGTCTTGAAAGAAGTTTACTGGCTCCTCGAATGAGATGCGAAACGGTTTAATCCTTCTCTTTTCTGCTCTCGGGCTGGTCGCTAAGGTGACACCTTGATGAAGTGAGAATGAGGAGGTAGGAATAGCTCAATGGGTATTTAGCAAATAGGTCAATTAGCACCACCTCTTCGCCTATTATGTGCAGCTCTCACTTCAGAAGCAGTAGATAGTACTAGGCTATTTGCAATTCTCTAGTCAGTGAGTTTTATTTTGCTCTAATTTTCTGGCAGCAGCAGTTTCTCACTGCATTCTTATTTCCAAACAAACTCTTGAATTGATTATTCAAGAGAAAGTAAAATCAAGCATGTAACTTGACGCTGCCAGCAGCTAGCAACGCCCCCGTATATGCAGCTCCAGCCCCACCCTTTTGATACCGTAATTCTTACTGTTCTAATTATCAGTTGGTTGCTAGGCGACTTTAGAAAAATTGTTGTTGAAAAACACTAATAAAATGGCGGAACTACATGTAATAGGCCAGTTGGTTGGGGGATACGATTTCCATTCCTGTGATCTGTTCTGCAAGTGGGGACTGGCCCATGGTAGTAACTGGAATGTTATCGAGGGAAAGAGTGAGGGACAAACACAAGTAGATCATCCAAAGGCAAGTTATGAGCATATTATAATTTGAACCCAAACAAAGTTAAACACACCATCATGTATGTAATTTGAGCTTTTTGGTAATTGGGAAAAATGCAGAATCAAAAAGTGTCATTTTTCGAGGATCAATTGTTGTCATACATGTTGTATTGGCATGTAATTACATACCCCTACTTGTACTATACATACATGTTGTGAAGCCTAACTTAGTAAACTACTAAATTTGCCTTTTTTTCTAACACCAATTATGTTTTAATTATTGATAATCTATTATTATGTAGGATGGAACATTTGCAAAGTGGTCTCATCCAATTGGTATGTAAGGATACACGTTTTTCTAACATGTACATGTATGTTAGTGACTTAAAAGAATCTCTTCTCTCCATCTCTCCTTTCTCTGTCCCTCTCTCTCTTCTCTTTCTCTCTCTCTCCTTTAGATCTTCATTTATCTTGTCAGGGTCTGCAAGGTTGGCCGAAGCTTCACTTTCAAGTCTGGCACGAGGACATCTTTGGTCGAAATGAGCTCTGTAAATTAAAGCACAACAAAGGGCACTATAATAGTAATGTTGCACGTGTATGTTTTGTAGATGGATACGGGTTCATTCATGTCCCAACTGTTCCAGGGAATCACGAGGTAGACTGCGTAATATGGAAGCCAGTTGGCTCATTCATGGACCAAGTAACATGTAAGATTAAGCTATTACGAAAATAAATGTATTATTAATGTATTATATTTTGTAAAATGTATTAAAAATTAGCATCTATATTACTTTTGCTTTTTGCTTGCATTGTAACCATTGTGATTTTTATTACTTGTAGCATTCTTTATGGGTGGCGGACCAGAACTCTCTCAAGAGTCTCTTGTCCATTCCTCTGAAGACAGGCTAAGACTTAGAACTGAGTCTTCGGGGAGGGTAAGACTAAAATTGGGCATAATTATTAGAAACTTTGAAAAATTTGGAGTAGAGACTAGTTAGTATTTTATTTTATGAATTTTTTAATATTTTTAAGTAGATAGATGTACATACAGTCCATGTTTAAGTTACACATTTAATTTATTAATTTTGTTTTAATTGATTATATAATGTGCACTCATTGATGGACACCACCACACTAGTTGCAAATTTGGGGCTATTTTAACAGTTTCTAAAAATATATAATTTAATCAGAGTCAACTGAAACTCTCTACATAACATTAGAACATGTATATGTATTAGAAAATGTAATAGAAATGGAGAATTCTTTCCTAATCATTATTGGCAAAATTTGGCTAAAGACCCTGCCTTTCACCAGATTTTTGAGCAGCTTTACATGTGTAAATCATAAATTGTAATTCTATCCTAGTCATTTTTGATGAGAATTTTATTGTTAATTTTGAACGAATTATTATCATCAATAAACTCAAGAGTCAAGGCACTCAAATATATCAATTAATGTTTGCTTTGTAGCTTGCGGATTTTCCTCTCTCCATTTTTTAAGCAAATTATACGACTGCACAGTTTCTTTCTTATTCTTTTCTTTAATCTCTTGGAGTGTTTTGTCAGAGAAGCCAAGATAGCCACAGAGACTATTGAGGTCTTTGTCTTTCATGAGTCTACTGTACTGTATCAAGTCTTTATCTGCATGCAGTATTGGAAGTATTTTGTTATACCGTATAGCGCTTTAATTTCGAGGAGCAAAAATTTTGCTGATTTCATGGGTTAGCATGCAACTGCAAAATTAAAGATCCACTAAATATTCAATTGCCATCAAAGGTGTGGCACAAACATTGCGAATCCCCAAAAGTTATTTCTGCAGAAAATTGATTTTTATAAGTCCGCAAAATTTTAGCTCCGCAAAATTAAAGTGCTATATGGTAATAATTTATTGTAGCTAACCAGGTATTTGCTCCAGTGATGTTTGTACTTGTTCATCAACAGCAATGACTTCATTATTATTGTGTGGAGTAGCTGATGCTATAAGAAATTTTAGCTCCACAAAATTAAAGCGCTATATGGTAATAATTTATTGTAGCTAACCAAGTATTTGCTCCAGTGATGTTTGTACTTGTTCATCAACAGCAATGACTTCATTATTATTGTGTGGAGTAGCTGATGCTATAAGAAATTTTAGCTCCACAAAATTAAAGCGCTATATGGTAATAATTTATTGTAGCTAACCAAGTATTTGCTCCAGTGATGTTTGTACTTGTTCATCAACAGCAATGACTTCATTATTATTGTGTGGAGTAGCTGATGCTATAAGAAATTATAGTAGTTTATAGCAAAATTTGAGAATTTTGAAAACCATTGAAAGTTTTGTTGTTAAGGAAATTTTATTTGGGCTAAAATAATTTTTCATGCTATGACAAAGCAAGGACAAGCATTATTAGTGGTGGTGGAGAAAGAGCTGGAGAGGATGCTATACAAAATTTTAGATTTTCAATGCAGTAAATCTCACCATTTTTCTTTGCCAAATACTCTTCTATTTCTCTCCCAACTCTTCTGTTTTGTAAGATAGGTCCACACACAGCATTTTTAATAGTTTGCCATGTGTAAGGAGCACTTTTATTCTGCTGTATCTTCCATTTATGTAGCACCTTTGAGAGTTTCTCTTTGCTAGAGGACTGCCTTTGTTGTAAGGAGCTAAGAGCATTCTGGTCCAGCTCTAGGCAGATGCCAAGCATTGACCATTCATGTGATATGCAAGAGAGAAGGTCCATTAATTCACGATGAGATGGGCTTTCTAGAAATCAAAAATTATAAATACTGGTAGAACAAATCAGACATGAGGCGAGTACTTGGGTACTTTTCCTCTACAGAAAAGATATCAAAGTACTTTCAAGTACCTTGAAACATTTTTACAAGACCTAAGGTTGAGTTAACAAGTGAAGGTGTAGACTTGTGAAGTTAGCAAAATTTATGCTATATCAGTGCACTTCTAATAACCCAATGCAGCGATGCTGTTAAACGACTTTTTGTACAGCTCTAAACTAATGTTTATTGGATGGAACCTAACAGTTAGTTCACATACATAGCATTTTTATGTACATTTGCTGAAAGTACTTCTTAAATACTCTATTGAAGTACTTGTATACTCATACTGGGAATTTGCAAAGTATTTGGAATGCTTTAAAGAGTACTTTGCCCCATGTTAATGTACATGTATCTACATGTAGCTTATATTATTGTTCTCATAATGTTATTAACACATAATCAAACTATTAATGTAATATCACTGCATATTATATTTTTGCATTTTTTCTGTTCCCAAAATTAAATGAAGTATACAGCATTTACATGTACATGTAGTACCTTGCCAAATGTCATCTATTGCTGCAGCATGTGAACTCGAATCTTCTCTAGCTACATGTAGATTACATAGACAGACCTGTGCAGCATTAATTAAAATTGGCTTACTTTTACTGGGTGACTTTTGCTGTGCAATCATTGAACTTAATTTGATTGCTGAGCCTGCCTCTTTTGCATCAAGCATTGGTGCACAAGAAGAAATATCTTTTTTGTCAGTGGCAGCAATCACGAGGAAATCACTGCAGCTTGTCATATTCTTCACTGCAGATGAATAATCTCTCAGATCTTTTGACAGGAAAGATGTCAAATAATTTAATATTAATAGTATCTCACGTTGAAGTGTACTACTTTTTATGGAACCTTTTTGTAGTTTTGAGTTCTTTAGTATGTACTGTAAGTTTTCGTCCAAGACTCCCTGTAAAAGTTGCACTATTTCTTCAAGTATTTTAACAAGACCTGATACTTCAGTGACTGCAGCTGGAAGTGTCATTGTGGTTTCTTCTTCAGCTGGCATCAATTGATTCTCTTCTAGTTTTCTAGTGGGAAAACTCAGGAAATCTACTATGAGGGATGCTTCTTCTTGCGTGTTTTTAGATGCAGTGAGCAGATCGTGCAAGCTTCTCTTGATTTCTTTGATGTTCTCGTCATTTAATGCTTGAAAGACCTTCTCTTTGCATTTCTTTATATTCTCCACTAGAAGATCTAACTTGCTTCCAAATGAAGGGATAGAGGCAGCTCCAGTCTTTTGCTGATCACGACCAGGTGGAGTAGTATCTATGTTGGTAGCCATCATAAATGGTTTGGGTATGGTTTATTTATAATGGTTATGGTTTAAAAGTTTCGAAGTTTGAACTTTCTGAGATCTGGCGTAGCTGAGCTAGGGATCACGTGATCTTGTTTAATTATCGCGTAAAAATTATTGGTTTGGGCGCAATGGGCGGGGATTGGAGGGAAATCCCATATGGGCATGTCATCCTGCATGTTTTCTGTCTCTTGGTTTTCTTTCAATCTCCCTCCCTTTTGGAATCAGTAGGAAGAAGAGAAGGTTAGCCGTGACCTGGTTTTATACTATTTACTGGCGTCTCTATTATCCTTTGATACAGAGGCAAGTTTGCCCGTTTTAAACTCAAGTCAAGATAAGAACAAGTGACTGATTTAGGTAACGTTATGTATAAAAATATGTACTTTCTTTATGAATCTTAAGCTTTAAATTGTCTCTTTTGACCTTTTTAACTATTTAAACTTTTAAATAAGTATCATATTTCTTAACTGTAATAGTAACTAGTCAACTTTGTACATCACAAAAGTCAGCAGTCAAAAATATAACACTTATATATATTTCCTGCAACAAAGCTACATGTGTGTCGAAAATTAACACCACAAAGTTACCTTTGATTACATTGCGTGTTGTTAAGTAGCAAAACTGTTTCCCTGGTTCCTCATACCTTCCTTCTCTTACATGTATGATCTCCTCTCTTTATCATTTTTCTTTGTATTTTTCTCACTCTCCATTCCTCCTCTTCTCTTTCTTACCCTCTTTTCCTCCTTCTATCAATGTTTGTGTATAATTGTATTAGTTTCGATCGCAGTTACATGTAGTTTCGATCTCGCAGCATGTACATAAACATGCACGAAAATATACTTTTGCTTATAGGCACTAGGTTATATTTTGATCCTTGTAAATGCATTGATCCATTGATATTCTACTGTCAAAGGTTTGATAAAGGCCAGCATAGAGTTAGTTTTCATTTTAAATGTGTCTTTATGCACGTGTTTGTGTTTTGTTATTGTAGCCATTTTCCTTGTGAAAGTAAAACCTCCATCACTTTACCTTGGTATGTGTGTATTATGTGCATCTAATCTCCTGTACTGTATGTATTATATATATGTGTGTGTATCTGGCTATTGGATTTGTATATGTACTCAGTCTTGTGTGTAGTTTTTCACTTGCTAGTATACACATTAAGATCATAATATTATACTTTGCATCATTAGTTAAACTCCATTAAAATGATCGCTACATCAAGTTCAATATAATGTGTACATGTACGTACAGTACCGTATGCATGCACTGTGTATAAAATTTGATGTATACTTCGTGACATAAGACGTACTGTGTACTTTATGAACTGTGTACTTTACACACATGTCAGACTTTCTGTCTCTGTTGAATGTTGATAATATTAGGGTGTGTCTTTCATGTGTATAGGTGTATGCATGGGAATGTATCAGATACATGCACACGTGACGTGATGTGTCAATGATGCATGTTTCATGTCATTGTTTCATTATTTCCTTGTAATTGTTTCATGATAACCTCACATCTTTGTTGCATGTAGTTTGAACAGAATTTACATGTATTTCTTAACTTCCTTCATTTCAAGAAGGGAATTTTTAAAAGCGCAAGCACATGTAGTTTAGTTCTCCTCCTCTTCTAATGGAACTGCTTTCAGTGTTAATAATCTAATTTAATAGTCATAATGGGAATTTTTATGGCAGTAATAGCATTTCATTAATAATGCAAATAAGCTCATGATTGGTGGTGATGATATGAGGGCTGGATATGATAATAAAAGAATAAAAGTGAAAATGAGAAGTGGAATGTTTTTCAGTTTGCAGGCACCTCTTCTAAAAGGAAAGAGAAAGGGTTTATCATCCCCTCCCTTTGGCAGAGGAAGCAAGCACTTAACATTGTTTAATCCCTTTAACAGTAATAATAGTATAACATTGAAGCTACAGTCAAACCTAGCTGTCTATTCTGGAAACATTGGGACCCAATAATACCCCCAGCTCCTGATTAAGGACGTGTCCTTATTTCAGAGGTTCATTAATACGCATTTATATTGTATTGGGACTGCTACCTCATCCTTATTTTAGAGTCTCCATAACCACAAAAGCAGGCTTGACTGTATGATGTATTGTATTACATGAAATCCATTGAAAATCACTAAGTTCCAGTTATAGTAGTCATTAGTGTGGGCACTGTTTATGGTTGAGTTTGGTCAGGGTGTGTGTGTGTTTGTGTAGTGCTTTTATTTGTGGCTTTCTATTAATATGAAATCATTTGCTAACAGCTGATGGTGCCAAGAGTGTTATCGCCACCAGAAACAAATTGCAAATTTATAATGAGACTTATGATAAAATGGTCCTTCCTCTACTCCCTCTCCCCCCTCTCTCTCTCCCCCCTCTCTCTCCCCCTCTTCCTCTGTGTTTTGTTTGTCTTCTCGGTGACTGGTACTTTATCTGTTGCTTCTTTCTTTGTTTTGCTAATCATTTGATCACTCGTTTTGTCTTCTCCCTTAAACTTCATCTTTCTTCCCCTAGCCTGCCCTCTGGTCTTATAAAAGTTGATTTAAGCTAACCTTCTTGTCTGTGTTTATTTTTGTTTGTGTTCTAACTGTCTGTGAATTTCATACAGCTTCATCCACTGCGGCTCCATTCAAAGAGATGTTCTTTTATAGAGTTTTTCTATCTCTCACTGAGTGTGTGTTGTGTTATTGTTAAGTACCACGTAGACATGCTTATGTACATATACAGTTAAAGTTATTAGTTGTTACTGTATACAAATGCGCCTTACCTTAATTTCAGTTGTTTATGACTTTAATATAGTTATCATACAAGTCTGTCAACAAAATGTAATTGATACAAACCACAAGTCCCAGACAATCTTTATTTTGCATGTTCATCTTTTCTATTGATACTATAGTAATGTAGATTAGCTCATTTTGTCTTTATTGTTATTATCAGCAGAGTCATGATATTGCACAGAGTGGTTCAGCATGTGCTGTTATTTCACACAATGATTTAGGGAGAGGATCTATTTTGTGGTGTACTATGATTTACAAACATTAGGATGGTTATCGTATTGCAAATTTAATTGTGCTACATGCAACTGTCATCCCATGATTGTGTAACATGTAGCTTCTATTGTGTAATAGTACACAAAGCCATTTATTGCTATCAGTACTAAAGTTACAATTGTCTTTTATCTCCCTCTCTCTCTCTCTCTCACACACACACACACACTCCCTCTCTCTCCCTCTCTCTCTCTCTCTCTCTCTCTCTCTCTCTCTCTCTCTCTCTCTCTCTCTCTCTCTCTCTCTCTCTCTCTCTCTCTCTCTCTCCCTCTCTCTCTCTCTCTCTCCCTCTCTCTCTCTCTCTCTCTCTCTCTCTCTCTCTCTCTCTCTCCCCCCCCCCTCTCTCTCTCTCTCTCTCTCTCCCCTCTCTCTCTCTCTCTCTCTCTCTCTCCCCCCCTCTCTCCCTCTCCAGTATAATGAGTGGCAGTTTATCATATTATCATTCTTATCCCACAAGAGGAGAAGGGCCTGGACCCACAAACCATTTCTCTCCCCACAAAATGTCGCACCGATACATTTCACGTGGTTTACCCGAGCCCCAACCATCAGTCGAAGGAGCCTCATATCACGTTCAGGGCCTCAACTCTCGTTCGCTGATGGGGATGTCTTTTTACGAGTCGTACGACGATGCTACTGATCACGGAGGTAGGAAAATGGGCGGAGACAAGTCCTCGCAGGATCGCCTCACTCAAAGCTACCACACCCACCAAACAAATTACACGAGACCACGTCAGCCATATTATACGTACCACCCGCCTGTGACCACGCCCTCTCTCCTCCGGACCAACTCTGGGCACTCGTCCTCGTCGCATTTCCGTAACCACCTTGGCAACAATCACCACGACGACAGGTCGGGCAGTTACCATGACGAGAGGAAAAGGGATTTAACGTCTACAGTTTCGTACCCTCAAACCAGGTTGACTTCAGCTCGGGGTAGGAGCTATGACTGGTCTACCTTAAGCTGGTCACAGTCACTCGCTCCAAAAGCACCTTCTCCTCTAGCCATGCCACTCGACAGTCCTTCAGAGCCTCATTCAGACTCATCTCCACCAACTACCATCAATCATCGGCCCATTGCTTTGGCCACGCCTCTAAACTCCACCCACTCATTAGCAATCCGCTCCACACTCCCTCATAATTCCTCCTCCGGCCCTCACAGTAGGGGAACACCCTACATTGATATAATATCTCACCCGGAGGACGTCATGATTACTCCTAGCGTTAACAGTTTTGAGTTGGTGTGCGAGGCAAGGGTTTTACACTCAAGCGAGAGTCCCATGTACCAGTGGTTCAAGGATGAGGAGCCTTTAATTGGTGAAGTGGCCAGTTCTCTCGTTAGGAGAGTGGCTCTTGAGGAAGATATGGGCTTCTATTTTTGTATTGTCTCTGATAGCAGTGGCATCACTCAGAGGAAGTCGAGACAGGCCTACGTCTGTATGGACGACGAAGGTCAGTCTACACGTACATCTACGTACATTTATTTCATGTACATCACATGTGTAATATACGTGTACATGTACATGTACGTACATATATGTCCTCTGTACGTGAGGTCAGTCATACATATATGTACATTGTAATTATGCGTCATTATCAGCTAATTATACAGTTCAGCATGTTCGATTATAATAATCACATTGTTAATTTGCTTTAAAGAGGAGTTCAGTATAATGAAATTACATGTCTAGTATTTATCGTCCGGTATCAGCTAGTACGTGTACGTGTGACGTGTAAGTTGAAAGTACAAGTGAGCCGTCTTGATTAAAAATACATTATAGTTATTTTTTTGAAAGAGAAAGTATGTGGTACAATTGTACATAAAAGATAGTATAATTCTCTTATCTTACATGTGTATACAAAGACTGTGTATGTGTTTCCTTGCTTCAGTACGTGCATGTACACGTATATTTGTGTTTTTGCCGAACTGATTCGCTCGTTTATTGTTTGTTGTGATTATGAAACCTGAATTGAAAGTGTTTATGTATCTCTATCCACCTGTAGACACATTG